CAGAGCCTGCCTGAGGAGGTGCTGCTGCATCCAATGGCTGCACAGCATCCTGGTAGCATGAAGCCAGACACCAGAATGCATGCCACCTCTTGGAGACAGAGAGCATACAATCCAAGCTCTCCTGTGTCAGTTCAAGTAGCATGCTGCTGTCCAGACCATAGTGCTGCTGAGCAGTAGACGTGGAGTGACCAGCTTGCAAGTCGTGAGAATGGTCAGCATACTCCTCTGAGGGAAGGCCAGGCCGGATGAGCACCTTGTCAATGCTGACTGACAGCTGCCGCCAGTTGCGTATGTGGAGAGAACTTGCTGATGGGCCAACAAACTCCTGACAAAGACTCTGTAATGTCTTGCTGATGTCATTGGTCTGCCATGGCTGACCCCTGTGATTGACAAGGAGGAGAGCACTCGGCTCCCGTGCAACTTCTACCGAGTTGAAGAGGAGGTGCAGGAAAGGCACTACCTCCATGACGTAAAAGAGCACCAGCTGGCCAACAGCATGAGGGAGGAAGCGAGGGATGAGCTTGGATGGATCTTTGCCCTTGTTGCTGGCAAGCACAGTGACAAAGTGACCATCAGCAAGGAAGAGGTTGCGCTGGCTGACCAATGTGTTGGTGTGCTGCAGCTTGACCAGCTCTGTGCCTCTTGCCGGCAGACCACTGGTGAGCTCAATGAGCACAGCAAGGAGCTTGTTGAACTCGTTGTGAAGGGCAAAGTAGGCATGGGCAGCAGCCATGTCAAACTCTGGCTCTGCTGAGCAAGTATCAAGGAGCGGTTGATGCTGAGGAAAGCCTTTGAGAGCCTGACGGAGGCAAAAGGTGCCAGTATCTTGCTTTGTAGCAGTAACAAAGCTGTAGCCTGGCTCCCTGTTGCAGAAGTGGTCCTTGTATGTAGACAGATCCACATGCTCGGACAAGGCACCATCCTTCAGCAGCAGCTGCTCCAACAGAGAGGTGGCACGGTCCAAGGTGCCTTGGACAAGGGTGTGAAGGCGGCTGATCTTGATTGTGTTGGTGCCATAAGTCACCAGCTTCCTATCCTCAGACCACCGGAAGTAGAGGCTGCCGCCATCATCCTTAGCCAGCTTGGTCCCATAGCAGAGAAGGGATTGCAGATGAGCACTTGCCGAGTAGCTGTTGTTGAACAGGTAACGCTTCATAACTGCTTGAACCCCCTTGTTGATCTCTGGGACTGGCTTGCCAATGAGAGTGCCATGCTCTGGGTGGAGAAGGTGGTGATGCATCACTGCACGGAATGCAAACTCCAAGTTGACCAGGATCGAGGTTGCTGTATTGACCGGCTTGGATGTGCCATCAGGAGAGAGGCAGAGGTGGAGGAAGGTGCGTAGCAGAGGAAGACATTCCAGCTCACCATAGGCAGGAGGATCTTGGGTGATGAGGTAGACACTGATCGACTGGATGCCACTAAATGCTTGCAAAACCACATCAGGATGCATGGAGACATCAACATCCAGATTGGGATCATGGAAGAGGTCCTGAAGGTCCTCGAAGAGCCCTGCAAGCTGTTCACTGATGCCAAGGTGTGCATCCTGATCATCATCACCATAGTAGCCAAGAACCTTGCCATCTAGCATGACATGAGCCAGCATGGTGATGAGCATTGCCCAGCAGTCAGCACACTTGATGACTGTGGGTTGATCAAGGGAGTATGGATGGCTAGGGGTGTCGTCAAAGGCATGGAAGGTTTGCTGCACCTGGCGGCCAGATTGAAGAAGTGCCTCCATCCACTGCTGTGTACACTGTTGTGTCATGCCAAGCAGCCAGTGAAGGAAGTCCTGGTGGGCACCTGGCCACTTGTGAGGGTTGCAGCCAAGGGAACCAATGGCCACCACTGGCTTGCCAGCCCAGTACTCCTGCCAGCCTAGCTGCTTGAGCCATGGGCTGAGATTGCCAGTCACAGTTCGTGGTTGAATGCCCTCCATGTCCAGATCTGCCTTTGCCATTAGCTCTGCATCCTTGGCAAAGAATGCTTCCAGCTGCTCCTTGAAAGCTGCGTCCTCCTCTGTGTTGATGTTGAAGGCAACAGGAGGGGGTGTAGGCTCCAGCTTGCTGTTGAAGACCCACACATAGCGGGTGAAGGGACCACTGGTGAAGATGGGCTGAATGAGAACAGGGTGGATGACAGAAGCCTTGCCATCATGGCTGCTGCGCTGGTGCTTGTATGCAGAGGAGCTCGACTTGACAGCATACTCGCAGATACTGCAACAGTAGCCATCAAATGTATCAAGCTCCTTGATGAGGTTGATGGGGAGTAGATTGGTGTTGATGCTGACAGTAGCAGGGCTGACAAGGTCGAGAGTAAGGAGTGTCTCCTCCAACAGCTTGATGCCAGTCTTGGTGAGCAGATGATGGTGGGACTTGAGGTGCTGAGACACATTGGCATAGGTTGGGATGAGCGGCAGGTGGTGAGTGCACTCAGGGCGAGTGCAGAGGAGAAGAGAAGGGTGCTGGAGGAGGCGGAGGCGGAAGCTGCAAAGCTGGTTGGCAACCTTCAGATCAACTGGAGCAGCAAGAGCAGTCTGGTTGGCAGCAGGGAGCGGCAAAGTGCTGTTGATGACAAGGAGAGCATAGATAGCACAAGTGATGTCAGTTGATGCTGATCAAGAAGATACACTGGAGAGAGAAGCAGTGTACATACAAGTCATCATCACTGTTGATGGCATCAGAAGGAGCGAGGTCATCAGCTACTGGAGATGGGAAAGCATCATCAGGGTTTGAAAGAGCATTGGCACTGTGCATCACAAGGTTCTTGATGATGGCAAGAGGAACTTGGCTTTCAGTGAAGGGGTTGATGCTGCTACTGTGACAGTGACAGCAAAGCTCGGTAAGAGACAGAGACTGGTCAGTTGGAGATCAATAGGAAGAGGCAAAGGAAGAGGATAATAGCATGTACCTGACTGCAGCAGCAGTGTTGATGCTGGCACCGATGGAGATGGAAGATGATTGAGACATTGTAGATTGTGGTTGGTGTTAGCGGCAAGAAGAGCTAGATGTTGCTGGTGTGGTATGGTGCTGAGAGATGTGAGCGTTGAGGAGACTTGCCATAGCTGTGAAAGAGGGCTGGTATATATGCTAATGCTGAGGAGCTCAGGTGTTGGCAATGACAAAGTCAAAGGATGCATGTGCAGACACACACACAATGATGATGGGGAACAACAACATTGGATTGCTGAGTGTGGGAATAGAGTACAGGCAGTGATGTGAAAGGTGATGTGCAACAAAGCAATGATGAGAACAAAGGGTTGAAGATCAACTAAGGATTGATGATGAGCAAAGGCCTGGAGGAAACAAGTGGCAATGGTGATGTGTGGTGATGGTGAGAAAAGCAGCAGTGGCAAGAACAAAGGGGTGAGAGCGTAAAGGACAAAGGTGTGAGAGTGTAAGAACAAAGGTTAATGATGTCGACAAAGGTGTGAGAGCATAAAGGACAAAGGCTGATGATGTTGACAAAGGTGTTGCAAGGCTGATTGGTAGTGAGGTGTGAGCGTGAGAGAGAAATGATGTCGACAAAGGTGCTGTAAGGCTGAGCGGTAGTGAGGTGTGAGTGTGAGAGAGAAATGATGTCGACAAAGGTGTTGTAAGGCAGAGTGGTAGTGAGGTGTGAGCATGAGAGAGAACAACAGCTGATGAAGACAAGTGGTGATTATGTTGTGCAGTGATGATGAGAAGTAGTGGCAGCAAGAACAAAGGGCTAAGAGTGCAAAGGAGGCTCATGATGTCGACAAAGGAGTTGTAAGGCTGAGTAGTTGTGGGGTGTAAGTGCAAGAGTTGTGCTGGAGCTCTGCATTGCTCTCGAGCTGTGCGCTGCTCAGATTGCGTTGCTCCAGCAGAGTGTGCGTTGCTCCAGCTGTGAGTGCATTGCTCCAGCTGTGAGTGCGTTGCTCCAGCTGTGAGTGCGTTGCTCCAGCTGTGAGTGCGTTGCTCCAGCTGTGAGTGCGTTGCTCCAGCTGTGAGTGCGTTGCTCCAGCTGTGAGTGCGTTGCTCCAGCTGTGAGTGCGTTGCTCCAGCTGTGAGTGCGTTGCTCTCAAACAGTGTGTTGTTCTCGAGCAGTGCATTGCTCTTGAGCTGTGTGTTGCTCTCGAACAGTGCGTTGCTCTCGAGCTGTGCGCTGCTCAGATTGCATTGCTCCAGCAGAGTGTGCATTGCTCCAGCTGTGAGTGCATTGCTCCAGCTGTGAGTGCGTTGCTCTCAAACAGTGTGTTGTTCTCGAGCAGTGCGTTGCTCTTGAGCTGTGTGTTGCTCTCGAACAGTGTGTTGCTCTCGAGCTGTGCGCTGCTCAGATTGCATTGCTCCAGCTGTGAGTGCATTGCTCCAGCTGTGAGTGCGTTGCTCCAGCTGTGCGTTGCTCAATTTGCGCTGCTCCAGCGAAAATAAATTTGTTTGCGTTGCAGCACTTGAGCAGTGTAAATTTCGAGTGCGTTGGGGGTCAACGCAGTCGCGTGAATTTCGAATTTGGCAGAGCGCAATTGTGCGTTGCCCGCAAGCAAGACACACCGGCTAGGGCTAGGGTTAGAGTTGGCCAACACAAGTCACCATATCTCAATGACCAGACTTCACTCCTGTCTGAAACTCTGTATCCATCATCTCCTAGCATGTGTCTACAATGTTCATTAAGGTAGCATAAAGATCTGAGGTGGTCCATATCCTACCCCTCCAAGGGGGGACCCTTGCAGCTTTGGCCAAAATTTCAAAAATGCAAAGTTGGCCGCAGCTCCACAACAAGTTGGTCTATCATCATGACAGTCTAGGACACTCTTATTGGTGTATAGAGCAACAACTTTTATTATGGGTGCATGTCAAAAATATCAATATTTCAATGACCTGACTCATACCAGGCCCAACTTCACCAAGCTGTATTGGAAAATTTTATTACTCAACTGGAGTAGGGTTGGATAATGAAACATGCATAGTTTGGGTAGTACTACAACTTTGATTAAGCAACCCTACTCGATTTAAAAATGGAACCCCCTTGTAACCCTAACCATGAGGAGACCAACCCTTCATGGTAACGAGTTTGTCTCAGCAGAGCACATACTACGAGCAGCTCTGGAAGATGGACCCATAGGGTTCATGCTGTTGGAGGAGCCACCATCATCACTCCCAGCCTTTGGTTTTGTACCTACAGGCGCAGACAAAGGAGTCGAGATGGAGGTGGAGGTAGATAAGGTGGTGACGGCTGCAGACATACCAAAGCCATACCAACACCTGCGAGATGTGTTTGATGAGGTGGAAGCAGACAAGCTGCCCCATCATACCGAGCATGATCTCCACCTCGAGTTGATAGAAGGAGGGAAGCCACCTCAAGGGCCCCTATACCTTAAGGGACCCAAGGAGATGTCCGAGTTAAGGAGGTACTTGGATGAGAACCTCGAGAAGGGGTTCATAAGACCATCGAAGAGCCCGGCACGATCACCAGTGCTCTTCGTACCAAAGAAGGATGGAGGTCTCAGACTCTGTGTGGACTACAGAGGTCTCAACAAGATCACTGTCAAGAACAGGGCACCATTGCCCCTCATCGAGGAGCAGCTGTTCTTACTCAGGAAGGCAAGGATCTATACCAAGCTAGACCTTAGAGCAGCATACAACCTCATCCAGATTGCTAAAGGAGATGAATGGAAGACAGCTTTTGGCACTCAGTTGGGACTCTATGAGTACCTAGTGATGCCCTTTGGCCTAGCCAATGCTCCAGCTCACTTCCAGTCATTCATCAATGACATCTTCCGAGACATCATTGGGATATATGTGGTAGTATACCTAGATGACTTCCTGATCTTCAGTGACACTGAAGAAGCACATGTGAAGCATGTCACTGAGGTCCTCACTCGCTTAAGGAGCAACAGGCTCTTTGCTAAGCTGTCAAAGTGTGAGTTCCACACCAAGACAGTCGAGTTCCTGGGGTACATCATCAAGCCGACAGGCATAGAGATGGACCCAGAAAAGGTGTGCACTGTCAAGGAGTGGCCAATGCCAGAGTCAATCCATGACATCCAAAGGTTCCTGGGTTTTGCCAACTTCTATCGAAGGTTCATAGCCCACTTTGCTCGCATAGCCAAGCCCTTGACAGCACTGGTAAAGCCTATAGAACGGTTCAAGAAGTTCGAGCTACCAGAGGAGGCCCAACAGGCCTTCACATCAGCAGGAGTGCTTCAGCACTTCGACTACCACCTTCCAACAAGGTTGGAGACTGATGCAAGTGACTTTGCTATAGCAGGAGTACTCAAGCAGGAGCATGAAGGACGATGGCATCCAGTGGCCTTCTACTCTAGGAAGATGTCTTCTGCCGAGAAGAACTATGAAATCCATGACAAGGAGCTCCTAGCTGTGGTTGCCTGCCTTACTCAGTGGTGACACATGCTAGCTGGACTACCGAACCAACTGGTCATCCTCACTGACCATGAAGCCCTCAAGTACTTCAAGTCACAGAGACGCATCACAGGTCGACAGGCTCGATGGGCCATACTACTAGCAGACTTCGACTTCATATTGCAGTATCGACCAGGAGACAAAGGTGGTGAACCCGATGCTCTCACCAGAAGGACAGACATGCAACCAGCTGGTGAAGAGCAGGATCACAATGTGAGGCAACTACTGCCTCCTCGAGTGTTCAAGGAGACAGCAGACCATGACTCGACCCTAGTGGCCCCTATGCTCTCGATGGAGTCCATAACATCAAAAGGTCTCAAAGACCTGGTCAAGATCTTCCAGCCCTTAGACCAAGAGCTACAGGAGATACATAGGAAGAAGCCCTTCGAACTCAAGGACGACCTATGGTACAGTGGAGGAAGGTTGGTTATCCCCAAAGTGATCATGCCAGGGAGGACCAACAACTGACACTGGAGGAAGGTTGGTTATCCCCAAAGTGATCATGCCAGGGAGGACCAACAACTGACACTCGAGGAGTGCCAAAGAGGTAGATGGACAGTCTCTCTCTGTAGAGCATCTGCGATTCATGGTGATGACCCAATGCCATGATGGTATCACTGCTGGACACATAGGAAGAGATGCTACCATCAAGGCAGCTCAACGACATTACTGGTGGCCAAACATGACAGCTTGGATTGCAGACTATGTAGCAAGTTGTCCTGTATGTGCTAGGTACAAAGCTCCTCGTCATCGTCCATATGGTTTGCTACAGCCACTAGCAACCCCAGACAGGCCCTGGGGCTCCATATCCCTCGACTTCATTGAAGGACTACCACCATCGAAGAAGTATGACTCCAAGACCTATGACTCTATCCTAGTCATCGTCGACAGGTTAACCAAGTTTGCCATACTAGCTCCAACCCATAAGACAGTCACGGCCAAACAGACTGCAGTATTGCTATATGGACACATGGTTAGACTCTTTGGATATCCAGATCACATGGTCTCGGACCGAGGCAGGCAGTTCATATCAGGAGCATGGAAGGCATTTGCAGAGCAAATGGGTGTGAAGCACTCACTTAGCACGGCTTACCATCCTCAAACTGATGGTCAGACAGAGAGAGTCAATCAGGTCATAGAGCAATACCTCAGGATGTACTGCAACTATGAGCAGAATGACTGGGCCAACCTGCTGGACACTGCGGCCTTTGTATACAACAACATGGTCCACAACAGCATTGGTGTCTCACCATTCTTTGCATGCTATGGATGGAACCCCAAAGCTCATCCTGACATCCCTCAACGACTAGGAGTCAATGATCCAGGTCGCTTCGAGTACCTCATGGATGGAAAGGAGCGTTGCAAGTACCTCCAGGAGCAGATCAGAGAGGCACAATGGAGATCAGTAGACCAGTATAACAGGAAGCACAAGGACATCGAGTTTAAGGTGGGTGATATGGTCTATATCAACCGTCGAAACTGGAAGACATGGAGACCCACACCCAAGTTAGATACCCAGTTTGCAGGACCCTACCCAGTTCAGGAATGGGTAGGATGCTGAGCTTATCGAATCACATTGCCAGCAAACCTTAGGGTGCATGATGTGTTCCATGTCTCCATGCTCAAGCCAGCAAGAACAAGTTCTCTTCCTCAACATGCTGAACAGCCCACCATACCATCACTTCCAGATGAGGACCTCGACTTTGAAGTTGAAGCACTCATCGACAAGCATTCACACAATGGGACTACAGAGTACAAGGTGTTGTGGAGAGGGTACTCAGAGGAAGCTGCTTCATGGGAACCAGTAGAGAACCTCAACTGTCCCGACCTCATCCAGGAGTATGAGGTGTCGGAGGGGGGACGAGTGAGTAGACAAAGTAGAGAAAGGAGGAGAGAACAGGAGGAGTAGAGAGAGGAAGAGGAAGGAGGATGACATTGAGAGAAGGAGGAGAGATGATGTTGGCAATGTTGGCGAGGAGGAGGAGGAGGAGGAGTCAGCATGGACCAGACCAGAGCATGCCTCGACGGAGCTCGGCTCTTAAGAGGGGGGTAGTGTCATGGGCCTGGATGCTCAAGAAGCAGGAGGGTCATGGGTTCATATGGAAGGAGCACAGGTATTGAAGATCTAGTCGAGATCAGTAGAGAGCATAGTGCAGTCTCCATGGAGACCATGGACTCCTATTGGACTCACATGCAAAGGAGGGCCAAGCACAGCCACGAGGAGGACCAAGCTCAAGGAGCAGGCACAGCCACGAAGAGGACCAAGCTCAAGGAGCATGCAGATGGTTACCACTCAGGGGCTCGAGAGACAAGAGCCAAAGGAACTGTCACTGATCAAAGGAAGAGGAGCAGTGTCAAAGGAGTCGACACCAGGTCATGAGGAGGAGGAGCAGTGTCGAAGGAGTCGACACCAGGTCATGAGGAGGAGGAGCAGTGTCGAAGGGTTGACATCAGGTCATGAGGAGGAGGAGCAGTGTCGAAGGAGTCGACACAGCTCAAGAGGCACAGGGGTGCCAAGCAGGAGAGGCCCCTGAGCAGTACTCGATGAAGAAGGTACTCTCTGGAGAGAGAGAGCAGGAGCAGCATCGCTGGTGATGCTGAGTAGAGGTATATAACCATGCTTTCTCATCATCATAGGTCGAGTGGATCCTCATCCACTCTACTCACCATAACTAGTTATCACTTCAGCATAAGTATATATTAGTTTCAGTCAGCATAGCAGCAATCCATCAAAGGTTGCTCCTCATCGTAGTGTGTGTGTTGTATCACCACTACCTGACGTCCGAAGGAGCCCATAGCAGGTTAGCAGTCTGGATCAAGATAGAACCGAAGGCAGTAGTCCACTGTGGTCCAGGGATCACTTCAAGCATCAAGTCAACACACTGGACACTTGTGTTGATGCCACCAACCTTATCACCAACACCATCAACCTCATTATCATTGACATCACCAATCTCATCACCAACACCATCAACCTCATCATCATCAACACTCACACCAGACCTTGGTGTCATCATAACATTGATATTGATCGTGCCGAGCTACCCCTGAACGGAGTGTCCACAGAGGTCAGCCGAAACCTACGATAGTATATACAACAAACGCCACCTGCTGTCACTGCACAACTTGATAGTCACCGATACCAAGACAATAGCTGTTGCACAGTTTGATAGTCACCGAGTATCTCGACAGACCGACCTGGGTTTCAGGCGCGAGACCCCTGACATAAGGCAGAGTGGTAGTGAGGTGTGAGCATGAGAGAGAACAACAGCTGATGAAGACAAGTGGTGATTATGTTGTGTGGTGATGATGAGAAGTAGTGGCAGCAAGAACAAAGGGCTAAGAGTGCAAAGGAGGCTGATGATGTTGACAAAGGAGTTGTAAGGCTGAGTAGTTGTGGGGTGTAAGTGCAAGAGTTGTGCTGGAGCTCTGCATTGCTCTTGAGCTCTGCATTGCTCAAATTGCGTTGCTCCAGCAGAGTGTGTGTTGCTCCAGCTGTGAGTGCATTGCTCTCGAACAGTGCGTTGCTCTCGAGCTGTGCGCTGCTCAGATTGCGTTGCTCCAGCAGAGTGTGCATTGCTCCAGCTGTGAGTGCATTGCTCCAGCTGTGCATTGCTCAATTTGTGCTGCTCCAGCGAAAATAAATTTGTTTGCATTGCAGCACTTGAGCAGTGTAAATTTCAAGTGCATTGGGGGTCAACACAGTCATGTGAATTTCGAATTTGGCAGAGCACAATTGTGCATTGCCCGCAAGCAAGACACACCGGCTAGGGCTAGGCCCATGACACCTTATAAGCAGGGTTGCTTTCAATTGCAGACTGGCATACAATCAAAGCAGTGGCAAGTGCATTAAAGTTGAGCTGACTGATGGTTGTGATGGTTTCCTTGTACATGGGGTGGTGTATGGTGCACTTCTGCAGGTTTGAGAATAAGGTGTCATTGGAAAATGGCTTTCCCTGGAGACTGCTCTCTGTCTAAATAGATCTGATTTCTTGGATGAGCTTTAGAGCATTGGAGTTGAACATCTTGATATTGCCTAGCTGAGTGATGAGTGCAAGTCAATGTGAGGTTGCAGTAGCTTCATTAGTCAGGCCATTCTCAATCTTCTTCCAGACTTGATGGAAAGTGTGATATTCTCTGATGATGTCAAGGATCAGGTAGTTCACATTGTATTTGCTGATGGTATTGATGGTACCACACAGTGCATTAATGAGAGCATCATCAAATGCATGGTTCCACTTGGTGTGCTTCTTGTTGTAACCTCCTTTGAGGTGTTTCATGGTGTGTGGCACCAATCAGAGAAAGGACTTGATGTGGGCACTCCAGCTGTAGTAGTTGTGTGATGTGAGTTTGGGCACTGGCTCAAGGAGCTTTGCTAGGGTATGGAAGTTGTATTGCTTGCTGTCACCATCGAGGTCAGAGTCAGAGTCAGTTCCTTTGTTGGTGTTGTCATTGAGCACCTCAACTTCTGTCTTGTTAATGGCCTCATTATCAGCTTGTGGTTGAGCCCTTTTGCCCCTTCTACCTCCTTTGGCCTTGCTTGTGCTGGCTTGGGTTCCAGTCTCTTCTGCCATGTTGTTGGATGGTTCCATGGCTCAGTTGGTGGAACTTCAGACTCTTAATCAAATGAAGAATACCAAGGCTATATGCTGTCCAGAGCTACTAACAAGCTCATATCCACAGGCATATGTTCTTGAGAAAGGTCTTGTATTTCTTGTTCATCAGTTACATCCTTAATGAGCATATATATACCTTATCACTATCTTTGATCATGTCCAAATGAGATGAGCTATCTCCTATAGGGCCCCTGAATTGCCACCTTCTGCAATATAGCACATGATCTGTTGGTATGGCAACCCTCATGTGCTTCATTGTCTTCATTGCCTGTGCATGTTCTTGGCCCCTTGATGTCTTGGCTAATGCTCGCATATCCAGGTTGGAATGCCGACACATCTTCAACTCATATATACAAGTAGTCCTGTAACCCTAGTTCATAAGAAATCTCAAGCATTGCAGTTACCATACACCTGTGCGATAAGAGCTAGCAAGTAGCTCTACAAGGCAGTGCTGTGCAGCTTCAATCTTCAACTCTTCACTGACCACATCTCGGCTTCCTTCTTCTCGCAACTGCAACTTCTGTCACCTTCATTGTCCTTATCACCCTTTCCCACAGCATCTTTTGAAGCTCTTGCCTCTCGTCAGGTATTGTTCTTCCTGTCTCCGTTTGAGTTTTGTTCTAGCATCTGTGACCGTCTCTCTTCTGTCTATGTTGTCATGTACATATGGACCGTCCTCTGCCTCTTTCGGGAGGGATGTACGGGGTCACGCTCATCTTGGCCTCTTGGTCGGGATGTTTGTGGCCACGACGAGATATCACTCTCGTCGTTGTCAGCCTCTCTAGCCTGTAAAAGATCATCGATTCACCACCTCATCTTGCGACTGCTCTGCAGCACAGACACATATATACTGTTTATTGTCTTGTACTTAGCTTTTACATGATTCGCCGCAGGCTCTTGAACAGTTTTGACACCGGTTGTGCTTGCAGCAAGCTTCCGAGATGTTGTTGGCATTGTCACAGTCTCAGGACTATCTTGTAGGCATCCTCCACGACGCTAAGCTTGCAGCCAGCTGATATGGCGCTTGCTTGACGACTCTGGAAGCATGGGTCAACCACCTAGATTGTACTACTGCTGAGGACCGGTGGGAAGAGACAGAGGGTAGTCATAGCAACGCATCCCGGCGGTTGACAGCTCGAGTATAAGGCAGCATTGACCTCGAAGGCCGGCATGTTGACGTTGTCGACGGTGTTGCCAGCCTGCTCATAACCGACGTTGTTGATGGCGACGCGGAGAAGAGAGATTGGAGAAGCATAGACCGTTGGAGCACTCAACGATTACAAACAAGATGGCTTTCGGGATAGGATTTGGATGCGCAAGCGACACTCGCAGCCCGCCGATTCAGACACAAGAAAAGAGACAAGAGCAAAGCCAGGGATGAGAGAGTAAGGTATGGATTGAGAGCAGCATTGCTTTTACGGCGTTCAAGAAGGTAACACAAGGATGCTGAGGAAAGCGACGATGGCTTGGACGAGTGATGGCATCTTTCGTTGGAGGCCTGTAGGCTCAGCGGATGGATTTCCACTTGTCAAGCAAAGCCTTGGCCAGGGTATAGTAGTCTCCGAGCTGACCTTTCTCGGTTAGACCCTTGACAACAAGGTGATACTCCGGGATAGCAAAGGCTTGGTTGATGAGGATCACTTTGAGGGCATCGTCGTCGACAACTCGGCCGGAAGCCTGCTTGTATTCGAGCGAAAGAGATTGAATACGATCGATGAGGTCGTTGATGTCTTTGCCGCTGATCTTGAGCTGGCAGAGACGCATGAAGAGAAGGCACGAGGCGGGGGTGTCGTTGGCCATGGTGCTAAAGACCTTGACAAGAAACAGTTGGAGGAGATCGTAAGCAGAGACGAGTCTTGGGTTGAGAGGCTTTGATGAGTTATATACCTTGCCAATCAAACGTGGCCAGCGCACGGACGTGCTCAGTCTCGATATCGAGCATGCACCTCCGAGATGAAGGGCACGAGCTCATCGGTGGGGATGTAAGGCGAACGTGAGAATGCGAGAGGGAGCTACGTCACCTTTCATCCGCATGTTGCTTGCATCTGTGAGAGTCACAGCCTCGACGTCGATGGAGCACCGTTGTCTGCAGCGTTTCTCTGACGCTCTGCGTACCACTGGCAGATCTCGTCGACCAGAGGCTGCGTGCGGCCTCTATACATGTGATCCGCGCCTTGGATGAGATGAAGTCGATGCGAGTTGCGTCTTCGCTTCTTGTTGCTGTCGAGTGCTGCAAGGTAGCTGTGTGCATCCTGCTCGAATACTGTGCGGTCTGCGGTGCCATGCAAAATGAGCCTGTTCACATGCGACCAAGGAGGTGGGTCAGCGACTCGCCAGTTGGTTGGGCATCAAGGTACGCTAAACTTACACATCCGTGTTGGTGCTTAGCGCAGCTACGAACTCAGTGGGATACTTGAAAGCCGACATGTTCTTCAAGTCGTTCGGCCAGACGATATACTCCTTCTTCTTGCCCGCACTGGTGATCTGCCACCTGTAGAAGCCTTCTCTGTCAAAACCTTGTTGAAAGCTCGCATAGGTCTCCAAGACCTTTTGCATATCCCATCTTCCCGAACAGACCACCAAATTTGGCACAAAGCTTCTCCCTCCGTCTTCTTGCAACTTCTTCTCGCCCTTGCCGAGGTACATCCACGAGATCATCGACCCGCGCGAGTGACCGACAATCAGATCCAGCACGTAGCCTTCCTTGCGATGCAGATATGAGACGACGGTCGAGAGATCTTGGACATCGTTCCCGAGGTCACCCATAGTCCAGTCGCCCCCCGAGTCTCCATTTCCGCGAAAGTCGAAGCGATAAGAGTCGATCGGCAGAGCTTGCGCTAGCTGCTTGTGATAACACTGGTTCTTGTGTGCGAGGAGACCGTGTAGGATGAGTGCGATTCGACGAGGTTGCCTACCATTCCAGCCAGGGTTGCGGTGCAAGATGCCGACCAGGTCCACGCCGCATTGGACTGAAGGTATGCGCAGTTCGAGTTCTTCGCCATTCATCTTGCGAGATGTAGTCTAGAGCTTGACCAAGTGTTGCAGATGGTGGTGCTGAGTGGACGACAGCGGCCAAAGCTCGGCAAGCACACAGCCCCCGGCAAAGGTAAGTAGCCGGAAAGCCGGAATTCTTCGCGTCAAAAATATATATAAAAACTTATCGTGCGAATGAATAGATGCGCGTTTTCGAACTGTAGGCGAAGGAGCACGTGACCAATGCGCAGAACTTGATTTTTGTCGCAATGTTTTAAATTCTGCTCGGCGACCAAAAAGACGTCGGAAATTGTGCCACAAAAATACGCTCAAAGCCTCGCGTCGACACTATCGACACACACACACTTGGATCGTAGGTAGAATAGGGTTTGCAATTCAGCTGTCTCTAAGGAGGAGGACGGATGACGACAAAGGCAGCTTGCTCGTCAATCTTGAACGTTGCTCTACCATCAGCATGCTTGAGCAGTGTCGTGCTTCCCGTTTTGAGCGTTGTCGTTGCGGCCGTGCCATTCTGGACGCGCACTTGGACCTCGCCTCGGAGCACAACTAGCAACTGGAAGCTAGCATCCAGAACCACATCCTTTTCGAACCTGTCCAGCCTGAAGTACTCGAGCGCAGCTTGGGGCAAGAGATTGCTCGTTGGCCGCTCTTTGCCTCGTGTGACAAGCTTGGAGCGCTCCTCGTCAGTGAGGATGGTAGTGGTGACAGCAGTAATCGCCTTTTCAAAGCCGAGACCGAGATGGCCGTGTTCTCTGCCGTCGATCTGGAAATGCCTCCATTCGAGCAAGATGGAGAGGTCTTCCGGTTCCTGTACTTCGATCAGCAGGATGCCTTCACCGATCGCGTGCAGCAGGCCTGGTGGAACGTAGACCGTGTCTCCTTGATGCACTTGCACTCTGTGCATCAAAGCGAGCATTGTCTCGATATCTTGCTTATCCACCATATCTAACATCTCTGCTTCCGGAATGTGCCGCTTGAGACCGAGGTATACTTGGCCCGGGGTGAGGATATGCCATGCTTCTGCCTTGCCGTGCTTCCGCTTGAGGTGCACCCTGGCCCAGTCGACGTGTGGATGCGCATGGATGGGCAGCCGCTGTCCAGCATCGAGGAGCTTAACAAGCAGCTTTGTATCCTCGCCGTACCTTGAGACATGGTCTTGGCCGAGCCATGAGATGGGGTCATCTCGGATCTCGTCAAGCAGAAGCGTATTACTGTTGGGTAGACGTGTGAGGCCGAGTGTGTCGTGGCCAGCGCAGCATGTTGTCGATGCTACCCAATCCTCAGGCTTCCCGTTGCTGGTCCATGGCTCGCCGCGGAACGACGAGATTTGGCGACCGCCGAGGTAGAAGCGTTCTGGAAGCTGATGTGATGGCAAGATGATCGGCCCGCTGATTGCAGCTGTAGCCGGGGCTCGATGGTCTTCGCAGGATGGGCCTGCCATGTTGAATGTTTCTTGGTAAGTCGTGTTAGGAAGAGGCAATCCTCAGAGTAGCTCTTATACACTAGGGCTATGGTCGAGGAGATGATGCAATAAAGCCCATGATGGGAGGCATCGACCGCTTGTGGAAAACTCAACCCACTTCTTCAGTCATACCAAGCAGAGCAGACGGCCAACTCGGTCATGCGTCGGACTGCAGCGTCAAACAAGGAGGGAGAGCAGAAAGATGGGCGTCGGTGATCGGAAGGCAAACACACCGAGCGCCCTTTTCGCCGGTCGGTGTTGCATTCTACCGACTCAGCAACAGAGAGCAGACGCTAAGGACCAAGGCAAAGCCACTGACTGGCATGCTTGTGTTTGCCTTTCCCACGCAATGCCTTAGGTGGTAGGAAAGTGGGAGCAAGTAGGCGGCGGGACGTTTGCCTTGCCGCTCGTCTGTTTATATACACTTTCGCCCCTTTCTCCTGCCCATCACTACTCTATCCAACTCTGCCTCGGTCTCATCGCAGTGCTATACTTGTCAAAAATGGCAGCCTCGACAGCACCGGTAATCGTCAACGCAGCCGCCCAGCTCGAGATCGACGTCGACACGCTCGACATCGCTCTCACCCAGCAACTCGGATCGCTTGGCGTCCAGGCCAACGACATGACCTCGAACCAGTTCATCGTCGCCGATGCGCTTGCACTTGCCGCTAACGCACGTCTGCTCGAACAGGTGATCCGCGCAAGCGCCGGTGCAGACTGGCGCACGGTGCTTGATCGGATCAGCGTCAGACTGTGCTCTCTCAACCTTGGCAACATCGCCGGTCGGGCTCTGCTGCAGGCGTCGCCCTCGTATGCGTACAACACGGAAGCGATCGTGGCTCATGCTTTGACGTATGCAAACGAGTTTGCTGCCCTCGGTGTTTCGAAAGATAGGTTTTGTATCAAGATTCTGAGCACTGGACCTGGTATGCTTGCTGCGCGGATTCTGGAGAAGGAGCATGCCATCCGCACACTGGCAACTGCACTCTTCTCGGTGCCACAGGCACTGGCCGCTGCTCAGGCTGGCTGCCTTTACATCTCGCCATACTACAACGAGATCCTGGCTCACTTTGCTCCGCCCGAGAAGCAAGTCGTTTATGAGCATCCGGAAAGGCAACACCCCATGTCGGCTCGCATGGCTCACATCTACCAAGCCTACCGCCAGCTCACCCTCGACACACCTGGCACGCAGCCGCCGGTGATCAAAGCTGCCTCGTTCATCGCGCTCAATGAGGTTTTGGCCATGCCGGCATTGGGTGCGCAGCAGGCAACCATCCTGGCGCCAACACTGGCACAGATGTGTGCGCTTGCTGCTCCCGTGCCTACAGGCAACGTCTATCGCCCAAGCAAGACATACGCGCTCGAGCTACCGGAGGCTACCAAACCCCTCTTGAACCTCGATCCACTCAGAGCGGATGGCAAGGCACAGAACTTCAACGTAGGCCGTGTCGATTACTTGGCCAACGGAGCTGAAGAGTTGCACAACGCGATTGCCGAAGACGCCGAGACCAAGAGGAGGATCGATGATGCGGTCCAGGTGTTTGTCAAGGCCGAGTTGCAGGCCAAGGCGATCATTGTGGCCGCCATGGCTAAGATCGATGGGGCCGCAGCTTGACATGCTTCGCTCGCTCGTACATAGAATGGAATAGACCTTAGAAGCGCATCATTGCCAGGGGTGTGAGTGTGATAAGTGCTGAGCATTGTTATTGTAGATATCGTTATAAGTTGACAGAGCATCCCTTTCGAGCTTTGCATCATCCTTACCATCAAACCTGTCAAGGTCGAGTTGTTTGACCAAGCACGCATCGCCTTGCTTCACTTTGCCTCTCATCACATCCGCTACAAGCTGAGCAGAAGCAGCAGCATGAGGAACCCAAACGGCACAAGCCATCCATACTCGCTCTTTCACCCCTCCGCACCAATGGCTTACCATCAGGAGTGACGCTAAATAAGCCATTAAACAGCCTACCACTCGCCACTTTTGCCGGATGCACCTGCAAAGTCTCTCTGCCGTTTGCTTGCGGAGCCAGTGCAGCGCGGTCTGAAGAACTGGTTGGAAGCTTCTTTCCCACTTTCCCTACGCACTGCTGGTGAGATGAGATTGAGCAACAGCAATGGGATCATGACCATAGCTTCCAATACCATCTTGCAAGCTGTGGTCTCGAGCATAGAGATGCGCTTCAGGATATCCTGCTGCTTTGATCTCTGTGCCATGGCTCAAGATAACTTTTCCCCTCTCAACAGACTTGACTTGCGCATCGACCAAAGATGCTCCTTTGCTCTTCGCTTCAGCTTGCTGCGTTCTAGCAATCAACTGGGCATTGGCGGTGGCATCTTTGTCGAACAACAAGCCATCCTGGACGCCATTCTCTTTCACAAACTACGGCGCAAGATGCACGGCTTCTACACCATCTACCATCTCCGCTTCCAACGCTAGCTTGCGTGCTTCCTCGCATCGACCACGCAAAGTTTGCAATCCAATCGAGCTTTGCGCTATCTCCAAGCCTCTCACAACACTAAACGCATTAGGCATGGCCGAATAGTATCCAACCCTACGCTTCGCAAGTTCGGTCAGCGCAGGTAGGGTGTTGTATTGCCCAACGTATCCTGGTGCATGACCCGTTGAGCCGGGCAGTGTCGAGACATTACGGTCCATGAGGTCTTCCTCAATGATCCGCAGACCAACTGGCTCAGGAGAGGATCGGCAATGCGACGGTGCAAGGAGCAACAAGGAAGCGAGCGCTTGGCTGGAGAAGAACAAGTGTAATGGCATACCTGCACCCACCTGCTTGGACAACATACTTGCTCAATCTTTTCCACAAAGAGACTCCAAGACACTGGCTAGGCAGAAGAGAAGAAGCAAGGAGCAAACTATGAGATGGAAAGTACAAGACTCGATGCGACCAGTCTAATGCCGAAGCAAGCGTTCCAATATGATGATATATGCTGACATAAACCTAATCGGGGATCTGATGGAACCCATCTGTCCAGAGATCGGGTACAACACAGCCCCCACTTGTTGTCAAGCTAGATCATCAAGTAGGATACTCCCACATTTGGCATGTACCTCATAGATGTATATATATCAAGCTGAGAACACTAGGTTCTCACCATGTTCACTTAGTCAATCAAGTATATGTGTTTCTGTCTAAAATAGCAGTGACATTGTACTTAGACTCCCCCTGATCACCAGTTATCAGGACTGAACAGTGACCATCTCCTCTCTAAGATCCAGTGCTTTCTCCTACCTGAACTTCTGATCTCAGTTCTGAGACATGCCCTCCATGGCAGCAGCCTGTTCCTGTTTGTATCACTGCTTGTTTTCCCTTCCTTGTATCCTTGCATCTTCTGCAGCCTGCTGGTATGCTTCCATCCCTGACATGCTCTCCAGCACTTTGGCTTCAGATAGAGTCTGTGATGCCCTAAGGTACTCTGCCACTTCATCTGGTTGATCGTAACAAATCGCTTGGAACAAGCCCATCTGGCAAATTTCGCCAAGTGCACCACGAGAAGGATGCATTAGAGCAGCGCAGTGTAAGCGGATGTGTGCCAGAAACCTGAAAACTACTATAGAGATTTAGTATGGCAGATTTCCATGAGAATCATGATAGTGTTCCCTTATGTGGAATCTGCCATAGAGGCCTGATACAATAGATTTCTATGAAAGGTGCAGTGACAATTCCTTATGTTGTAATTCAACAAAATATGCTGTAAGGGTGATTAGGAGTAGGTCTCAACTAACCACCTTGAATGCTCCATCCAGAGGCTATGTGGCACATCAATGAGATAATGATCTTGTGAGGTTATGCTACAGGTGTGATGTCAACAACAGCAGAGACATGAGCATTCATATTGTTTGCTGACTGCTCAATGATGTGATGGTGTCTGGACTGCAATACAATATTGCCTACAGATGGTTTTCAAGCCAGGCCACAGTGGGGAACACTGCCTTCAAATGACATCCCAAGGGTGATATGACACATGCATTTGAGATAACCTGCAATGCTCTGCAATTGCATGGTATAGAACAAAGTAAAGAGTGCAATAAGTAGTAGATAGAGTGGATAGGGATCCACTTGTATGCTATGATGGAATGAACAAATGTATGTGTTTGTGCAGTGTTGCCCATGACACTGCTCCTGCTCCTCCTGCTCCTCCTGCTCCTCCTAGATGTGTAAACACTTCCATTTGTCATGGGAGCAGATGGATGCGCAGGAAGAACCGGAATCATATGAAGAGACCATGCACAGCAATCATGGATCAGGCAAAGAGAGGTTTCTGACAGAGCTCAGTGAGATTGATAGGATTGAGGGCTCTATGACAGAACTTGTTGGGATTGGCAGGAGTGAGGTTTTACTACAGAGTCTGTTGGGATCAGTAGTACCATGCTTGTATGACAGATCTCATGGAAACTGGTTAGGAGACACTTCTCTCACCAATCCCACAATAAGAGGACAACAGACAAGGAATGGGCCACCACCTGATGAGGTAGGGGCCCTACACAACAATGAACTCAGCATAAGGAGATGGGTGCCAACATCAGGAGCAAGATGAAAGAAGGTGAGCACTGCCACTGGGATGAAGTGGGGACAACCCCTATCAAACAATGAAGAGCAACTGGGACAGTCTCCTCACCCACAAGGAGCAGGAGAAGCAGTGCTTGAGGAAGGGAGTACACCTTGTCAGCGGTCATGCACCCAAAACCTGATATCTGTAATAGAACCACATCTATTATGAATTCCATCGAGATATGCAACAATGCTTGTGGTATTATGATTCTTGGCAAGATATGTAGTAGAGACATTTCTATCACTTTTCTTGCTAGAAGATGCAGTAATGGTTCTGCTATTGCAGGTTTCAACTAGCCACTGTGGACACTCCATACAGAGGTAGCTTGGCATGATCAATAACTTGAATGTATTGCATGACACCAAAGGTCTGGTGTGAGTGAGATGATTGGTAGTGCCAACATGAGTGTCCAGTGTGTTGACTGAATGCTTGAAGTGATCCCCAGACTGCAGTGGATGGCTGCCTTTGGTTCTATCATTATCTGGACTGCAGGTTTCTATGAACCACCTTCAGATGTCAGTGAGTGGTGATACAACACATGTGCTATGATGGATGCAATCTTATTGAGATTGCAACTGCTGACTGAATACTAAAGTATACTTATGTGTAAAGCCATAACTAGTAGTGTATGGTGTAGAGTGGATGGAGATCCACCCATCCACCTATGACGAGAAGGTATGATTATATACATCTTTGCAGTGTTGCCTGCAACACTGCTCCAACTCTCTCTCCAGAGAGTACCCTCTTCGTCAAGTACTGTACAGGAGTCCCTGTAACATCGTGTAAGCGGTCGTGCGCCAGAGACTTAGTTTTGGGGTGTTAAATTGAGTTTGATTGAGTAAGGTCTACTCAGTATGTTTCATCTAAATGTAACCAAACATTGCTGCCTGGTAAGTCTCGACTGACTGCCTTGAACACTCCATTCAGAGGTTGCATGGCATGGACACTGGTTGTTGGTGAGTGAGTGAAACACTCTCTCCTACAGTACAAGTGTTCATAGTACTGTTGATAATGCTCTTGGACATTGTCTGGACCATGATATGCTAATTGCCTACAGAGGACAGGAGTTACTGGACTGCAGGTGTGAGTCACTGCCTACAATAACTGACTGGACTGCAGGTGTCAAGCTACACTGCCTACAGCAAGGGAACTGGACTGCTAGTGTTGAAGAACACTGCCTACAGTTGTTGACTAACAGTGATACAACACACACATTGAGAGTTGTTGCAAGAGCACTGCTATTGCAATGGTATGTAACTGAGTAAGTAAAGTAGATAGAGTAAGTAGTATAGAGTGGATGGGCTCCACTTGTATGCTATGGTAGAGTGAGAGTATTTATGTGTCTGGTCAGTGTTTTCCCTTGACACCTATCCTGCTCCTCTTGAGGGGCCTTGTCCCCTGTTAGGCACTGTCTTGTCCTGCTGGCACCAATCCCTTCGATACTGCACTCCTTCCATTTGCACAGTGTAAGGGTTATGCAACACTGCCCTCTTGCCTTCATGCTCTCCTTCTGCCTGATGATGTGTGATGACCCCTTTTGACACAGCTCCTTCTTGACCTTGTCTTGTGAATCCCTTTAGCCTCTTGTTGAACCTCATGACCAAACCCCTTGATCATGTGGTCACCCCTGTGCTTGGGCCTGTGTGACTTTATGCATGCACCCCTTGAGCAGTAACCATCCACATGATACTGAGTCTACTAGTACTTGCTTGTATCAGCCAACTTGTTGAGGCATGCTGTTCTGACTGTATCAGCTGACTTGTTGAGGCATGCTGATCTGACTGGTTCTGACTGATCCCCATGAGATTAATCTGGAACCCTGGGGTTTGATTGATCTTGTAATTCATATGCACTGCCAGCCTGATTAATCCTGTTGATCCCTGATGGTTCAGTGCCAATCAATCTGGTGCTCCCTTCATATACTGCTCCATTGCATGACATTCCCATGACTGCTGTTGATCAATTTGGCGCACTCTCTTTCGCTATCCTTCTGACCCTGTGACACATCGCTTCTGTCCTTCCTGAGCTGTGTGTCGACCTCTTTGACACAGCTCTTCCTCCTCATGACCTATATGCCGGTGTCATCGACACAGCTCTCCTTTCTCCTAACTGGCGACTGTTCTCCTGATTCCTGTCTTGTGAGCCCCTGAGTGGTAACCAGCTGCATGCTTCTGAGCTTGGTCCCTGTCTTGGCAGAGCTTGGTCCTCCTCGTCTTGGCAGAGCTTGGTCCTCCTTGCATGTGAGTTTGTCATACAATCATCCTTGCCACTGATCTCCACAGAATCTGCTATATGATCTCTTCTACTACTGATCTCAGCGGAATTTGTGATATTATCCTTGCTTGTGCCGATCCTGGTGGGATCTGTCATAGAACCATTTCTACTACAGATCTCAATGAACTCTGCTGCAAATCCCATGATCTGCCTGATTCCTTGATTCCTGTGCTCCCTTCATATGGGTTGACAGATCTTCTTACTTCTTGCGCATCCAGGCCCATGACACACCTCTTGACATAGCAGGAGCAGCGTTGCAGGTGACACTGCAAGAGGTGTTAATATAAGACATGCATTCTACTCATGGTAGTCGAGTGGATCCCCATCCACTCTACTTTACACATTACTAGTTACATCTTCAGCATAAGTATACTTAGTAGTTTCTGTCAACAGTTGCAATTGCAGAGCATTGCATTTAATTAGCATGTGTGTTGTATCACAGCTTCTTGATGCCATCCAAAGGCAGGACTCTCTGTGGTCTGGATATCAATCAACACCAAAGGCAGTTTCATACTGCAGTCCAGCTTTCTCAATCTTATACCAAAGGCAGTCATCCACTGTGGTCTGGGGATCAATCAACCAACTCATCAACACACCAAACACTTGTGTCAAGACAAACACAGTCACACCAGACCTTGGTGTCATCTAACAGAAACTATTGGACCTTGATCATGCCAAGCTACCTCTGGACAGAGTGTCCCCAGCAGTTAGTCGAAATTCGTGATAACCCTTATGTCATGGGCCTGGATGCTCAAGAAGCAGGAGGGTCACTGGTTCATATGGAAGGAGCACAGGTATCGAAGATCTAGTCGATACCAGTAGAGAGCATGGTCGTAGTGCAGTCTCCATGGAGACCATGGACTCCTATGGACTCACATGCAAAGGAGAACTGAGCCACATGCGAGGAGGGCCAGGCACAGCCACGAGGAGGACCAAGCTCAAGGAGCAGGCACAGCCACGAAGAGGACCAAGCTCAGATGGTTACCACTCAGGGGCTCAAGAGACAAGAGTCATAGGACACTGGCAAGCAGGTCCTGAGGAAGAGGAGCAGTGTCGAGGGAGTCGACACCAGGTCATGAGGAGGAGGAGCAGTGTCGAGGGAGTCGACACCAGGTCATGAGGAGGAGGAGCAGTGTCAAAGGAGTCAACACCACTCAAGAGGCACAGGGGCGCCAAGCAGGAGAGGCCCCTGAGCAGTACTCGATGAAGAAGGTACTCTCTGGAGAGAGAGCAGGAGCAGCATTGCTGGCGATGCTGTGAAGAGGTATATAACCATGCTTTCTCATCATCATAGGTCAAGTGGATCCTCATCCACTCTACTCACCATATAACTAGTTATCACTTCAGCATAAGTATACATTAGTTTCAGTCAGCATAGCAGCAATCTATCAAGGTTGCTCCTCATCGTAGTGTGTGTGTTGTATCACCACTACCTGACATCCGAAGGCGCCCATAGCAGGTTAGCAGTCCGGATCAAGATAGAACTGAAGGCAGTAGTCCACTGCGGTCTGGGGATCACTTCAAGCATCAAGTCAACACACTGGACATTTGTGTTGATGCCACCAACCTTATCATCAACACCATCAACCTCATTATCATCAACACTCACCAACCTTATCACCAATGACATCAACCTCATCATCATCAACACTCACCAACCTTATCACCAATGACATCAACCTCATCATCATCAGCACTCACACCAGACCTTGGTATCATCATAACCGAAGCATTGATATTGATTGTGCCAAGCTACCCCTGAATGGAGTGTCCACAGAGGTCAGCCAAAACCTACAATAGTATATACAACGAATGCCACCTGCTGTCACTGCACAACTTGATAGTCACCGATACCGAGACAATAGCTGTCGCACAGTTTGATAGTCACTGAGTATCTCGACAGACCGACCTGGGTTTCAGGCGCGAGACCCCTGACACCTTAGTTCCAATCTATTTGAGCAAGAAAGGTCATAGAAGGCTTCTGTCATAGGAACGGATGGATGCGCAGGAAGAACTGAAGTCAGATGAAGTGACCATGCACAACAATCATGGATTGGGCTACAAGAGGTTTCTGACAGAGATCAGCAAGATCAGTAGAATTGAAGGCCTTATGGCAGAACTCATCGAGATCTGCAGTAGCAAAGGCCTTGCTACAGAATCTGTCAGGACCAGTAGCTTCCAGCTGGTAAGACAGATCTTGCAGGGGATGCCAATCTCACAAATCTCACAGCAAGATGGATGTCAAGGACATTGTGGTTGCCACCCTGATGAAGCAGGGGGGCTGACCTGACAATGAGCTCAGGACCAGGAGGATGGGAGAGATGAAGGGGGGTGTGAGTTGCCACCCAGATGAAGTGGGAAAGGTCCCTATTGGTAATGAAACAGCACAAGGACTTCCCATCTGCTAGGAGGAAGAGTCAAGAGGAGGAGGAGCAGTGTAGGAGGAGATCACAAGGGGAACAAGTGTGGTTGCTGGCAATACAGCAAGGACATCTATATAACATGCACTTGCTCCTTGTCATGGTGGTTGAGTGGAGATCCATCCACTCTACACCATATCATACTAGCTATCACTTTCACATAAGTATACTTAGTAGTTCATCAACAGTAGCAATTGCAAAACATTGCTTCTATTGTAGCACATGTGTTGTATCACTGCTCATTGACATCGATCGACACCGAAGGTGGTTCACACTGCAGTCTGGCTCTCTTGATCACTAGAAACCAAAGGCAGTTGTCTACTGCAGTCCAGGGATCACTTCAAGCACTCAGTCAACACACTGGACACTTGTATTGGTGTCAACACTTCACCAGCATCAGACCTTGGTGCTCACCATGCAACTCTAGTTATTGATCATGCCAAGCTACCTCTGGATGGAGTGTCTGCAGCAGTCAGTTGAAACCTGCAATAGCAATCAATCTACCACATATTCAAACAAGAGAAGTCATAGAGGCCTTCTACAACAGATCATGATAAGAATAATAATACATGGCATTTTACCACCTATCTCAACAGGATCTGTAATAGATGTGTTTCTACTACAGATATCAGGTTTCAGGCGCGAGACCCCTGGCAAGGTCATAGAAGGCTTCTATGGCAGATTGCAGTAAAAACAATTATAGAAGGCTGTTACAGTAGATCTTGCCAAGATCAATTAATCGACTGTACAGTGTTGGCTAAGACACTGCTCTTGGCACTTCTCAGGGGTGTGATCCTCTGGAATTGCTCGTATGTCTCCTGTCTCGGTCCGCTTACGCCTTGATGGTCTCCCAGTACCAACTTTCAGATGCGTACCGAGAGCAGTGCATGGACAGACATGTCAATGCGTGACAATGCATCAGACTTGGCATAGGAGTGTGTGGCGAGGATAGAGTACAGGCAAGAACAGGAGGACAAGGAGAACAAGGAGGGAGTAGGCATAGGTACAGACTATCGAAACAAGCGGGAATGTTACTAGGCGATGACAGGCAATACAAAAAACCGAGACGGCCTAGACGAGATGGATTACAGCGACAAAGAAAGCCTTGGCAGCAGCAAGGCAAACAAGGGGCGGGTTAGGGGTTTTTTTTCTTTTTTTTTTTTTCTTTTTTCTCTTTAGACCTTGATCGTAGCAGCAGAAGCACTGTTCGCCTTGGAAACAACATCCGAAGCTGAACTCCACTCTCTTTCATGTCTCATACCTGCCTCGCCTGCCACTCGGTGAGGTTGTTGTTGGGTGGGATCCAAGCCATCGGCTTCTGATCTTGGTCTACCTTGCCCCGGCCGTTGCTGCTGCTGCTGCTGCTGCTGTTGCATATGGTCAGTGGAGAAGGCAGGTCCGATGGGCCCTCTAGCATGCGCTGAAGCATAAGCACCGGGAGGACCTTGCGACACTGGTGGGCCGGCAGCTTGAGGATGCATATACGCAGGATGAGGAGCCATGGAAGCAGGAATGCCCATGCCAGCCGGACCCATGGAATGGTGCGGATCGACTGCATGCGGTCCAGCGGGATGCGGCGCCATTGGCATCGCCATGGGCATCGCCATTGGCATTGCTGGTAATGCTTGTCCTCCCGTCGCTTGGACCAGTTGAGATTTGAGAAACATGTTTTCGTTGCGTAGAGCGCTGACCGTGTTTTGCAGGTTTTCGTTGTCATTTTGGAGATATTCCACTTTGGCTTGGAGGGATGCAAGCCATGCTTTTTTACGTTGACGGCATTTGAGTGCCGCTTGTCGGTTACGTTCGAGGAAGTTCTTACGTTTCTCGTCCATATTACCACGTTCGCCTTTACCGTCTCCGTCATCGTCGCTGTCCCAATGTTGGTCATCGTCATCGCCGTTTTCAGACTTGTAGGATGGACCAGCGTCGAAAGCAGCGTGTGCATTTGCATTTACATTTACATTTGCATTTGCATCTGCATTTGCATTTGCATCCTTCCCTGTTCCTGCTGCTGCCGCCTTGTTGTTGGGCGCAGAAGCAGCAGCGTTGGCGTTGGAAGCCTTCTTGCCACCTTTAGCCGTCTTTGCCACTTTAGCCGGCGGAGCGTTGATCGAAATAGGAGCACCAGCATCAGCACCACCACCACCACCACCACCACCACCGTTAGCGTTGGCGGGAGTATTATCCTCGGTGGAATTGGCCTTCTTTCGCTTATTGCCGTTGGGCTTGTCATCACCTTTTTTGCCAGCAGCACCACCCTTTTTGCCGTTAGCAGGCTTGGACTCGTAGAGCCGAGTGGCCGAGTGGCCAGCATCTCGCTTGGAAATCTCGTCATGTGCTCGACTCAACAAGAACAAGCCCGAGGCAGCATTCTGTTGATCGCCATTGGCGGCTTGCAAAGGCTTTTGCATCATCTCTGGACTGATGTTTCGATGGGAATCAGCTTTCACTTGGGCTTTGAGTTTGGAACCACTCTGCTGTGGCGGCTTGGCATGGGGGAAGGAACGGCTGAAAGCGAGGTCGAAAGCGTTGTGTGCATCCGTGGGTCTGCCGGCAAAGTTCTGGGGTTGGGTTGACAAAGCGGAGCCAGCTCCTGGTCCGGCAGCACTGGCAGGGTCGATGGATGGCGCTGCTGAGGCAGCATTTGCGGCGTTGGTCAAAGTGGAAAGAGTGTTGGGGGTGATGGTAGCAGCCGAGGTGGAAGGAGTAGAAGTGTTGTTGACCATAGCAGCGAGGAATGCTGCAGTGTTGGGGGAGGGAGGAGGGAAAGAGATGCCTCCACCGAGTGGAGTGAGTCCAGTCTTGAAGTTGGAAAGGTCTGGAGTGAAGCCGGTACGGAAGCTGTTGGGGTCAAAGTGAGAGCTCTGTGGACCGGCGAGCATGGCTGGTGAAAGTGGACCTGATCGGAGCGAGCTAGTGAGAGCGGCAGACCAGGGGTATGGGTGGGTCTCGCCAGCGGGGGAAGTGATGGAGGCGAGGGGTGGCAGGAGTGGCTTTGGTGTTGAGCCGGATTCTTGGATGTTGTTGCCGGCCGAAGAGGGAGAGGAGTGCGACTTGTTTTGGGAGAAGCTGCGATCTCGGTAGGCTGCACCGGGACGAGTGGAGAGAGTAGGAGTGCTGAGGCTAGGCTTTGGGTCGGAGCCTTTCAAGTCGCTACGACGCTCGACAGATTCAGAAGAGCCGGAGCTGAACGACTTTTCGAAGGGGTTGGGTTCGAGATGATGCTTTGCTGTCGAGCGAAGAGGACTGCTAGGACGGATGGGTTTGGCGGGAGGCCTTGTGGCTGTAGCTGGTAAGAGGTGTCGGACAAGATAGGGGCGAGCATGGCGGAGCAGGAGGGGTTGATGGGGCAAAAAAAAGGGGGGTTGGGTTGGGTTGGGTTGGGTTGTCAGTGGATCTGATCCGACGGCGTTTCAATGGTGATGGTGGCGACAAACTCACCTGCTTCGGACATGGTGGTTGGCTGATGCGGGGGCGAGACTTTGTTTAGGCTCGAGGAACGAATTCAGGGATAGAAGATGCGTCCGTGTGTAGTCAAGGAGAGAAAGGGTGAGTGTACGAGGGATGACGAGGGATGACGAGAGATGACGACGGATGACGACGGATGACGACGATGCAAGCAAGATGGTGGAGCAAAGGCAAGCCTGAGTTGCCCAGCAGTTAGGCTTTGTCGGCATTTTCCAGCTTGATCGGTTCGATGCTCAGCGTAGTTTCTATTATTATTAAGAAAGTCCAATTCCAATTCAAATCTCGATTCAAATCACGATTCAAATCTCGATTCAAATCCGAATTCAAATCCAAATTCAAATCCCACTTTAAATTCCATTTTAAATCCCATTTTAAATCCAAATCCCATTGGAAATCCAAATTCAAAAGGCATATCTCTCACGGCGTCACCTTTGCTCAATACAAACCTTGTTGCTCCTTGTCGTCACATGATCACACACTTTTGCCCCAGTCACATACGGTCGGAAGGATGGCCGACAAAGCGGAAGCGAAAGCGGAAACCTGGGAAAGAGAAAGATCGGAAAGATCGGAAAGATCGGCAAGATCGGCAAGATAGTCAAGATAGGCAGGACAGGCAGGACAGGCAGGATAAACAGGATAAACAGGATAAGGCAGGATAGGAATTCGCTGCTCGTGCCTTGAACTGCAATCCAAATTCGAATTGGTGCTTGAGCGACTGCTAGGATCTAGGTGTCCTGCGTATCGAAAGTGTCCTGCGTATCCAAGGTGTCGTGCGTATTTAGGTGCAACAAGGGTTTGGTTAAGGGTGCTTTGGTCCAGCGATCTGGCACCCCCATACGCCGTTTGGAAGCCTTTCATAGTGTCTGCTCGGCGGCGTCACTAAGCTGGGGAAATGACGTAAGAGATGACGCAATCCTCCCACCTTTTCTATTATTTATTTTCCTTTTTTAATCCCATGTAAAGACGAACGCGACTTAACATTGCTCACTTCGGCACAAGCAATCCAAATCTAACACCCTCTCAACAAAAATGTCACACTTCCAAGGTGAGAATCTTTATTCTCCAGCGTCGAAACAAACACATTCACTCAAGAGTGGCCAAAGGGAATGATCAGCAGCCATCATCCAAATGCATACCATCCAAATGTAAACCATCCACATTTCTGACATGGCACGGCAAAGTTACAAAGGAAAAGGCATTGCAGATCGTAAGAATCCAACTTGCTCCGACCTCGATGCAGCTCGAGAATGGCCATCGTTCAAGCAGCAGCAAAGGGATTAGGCGCAGACCAAGCCCCTTCACCCGGCTTAGCAGTCGAATGCATTGGATGAGGATTACTACTCTCCGCGCCGAAACCAACTGCCATCCCGGCACTACCCACGCCACCATTGGCACCAGCACCAGCACCAGCACCAGCACCAGCACCGATATATTCATCGCCATAAGTCTCCTTTGCATGTCTCTCCAAAATGCCAGCCAGAGGACCCAATAACCTTGTAAAAGCCCTCTCCGACATTGTTACCACTCGAAGTTTAGCCGGCTCACCGGCAGTAGCCGTTGCACTGGCAGCAGCAGCAACAACGGTAGCAGCACGAGGAGCATTATTGAGCAGCGCAAGTTCACCAAAGTAATCCCCCCTGGAGAGTTTGCCAACGACTTCCTCACTGCCACCTTGCTTGCATTTGCGCACTTGAGCGTTGCCTTGAACGATGATGAAAAACTCGGATCCACGTTCTCCTTGCTTGATAACCGCCTCTCCAGGAGCATACTCTCGAAGTTCCAGACTGTCCGAGATTTTAGCCCGTTCAGCAGCAGAGAGACGTTCAAAGAGAGCAACATCCATCAGGAATTTCTCGTAAAGTGCACGTCGACGAGAGTTGGTTTCCATCAAAATCGACCTGAAAGTGATGCGGTCCAAGGCCCACAATGTGCATGGAGACGTGGAAACAACGGTAGCCGCTCGAGGTTGAGCGTAGAGCAAAGCCAGTTCACCAAACGAAGATGCAGGACCATAGGAAACTTTCTTGTTGCCCAGTGTCGAGCAAGCACCAGTCTGTGCTGTGCATTCCTCTCCAGCTGCTTGAGCACTACGAACATAGACGTCCAGCGTACCGGATTCGACGACATAAAAGTAGTCACCCTGTGCACCTTGTTCGATGACGGTAACGTTGGCATCCACCTTGACTTCCTTCATGGCGAGTAAAACATCGCGATACTGATCCTGCTCCAAGTTGCGGAAGAGCAAGTTGTTACCAATAGATCCACGGATCCGTTCCATCTGTTCCTCCGATTTGGGGATCACCGTCTTGGCCAGCGGCGATCCATCGTGTTGCGCATCGAGAGCCGAGGGAGCCATACTCTCTGCCGAGACGGAAGTACGTCTGGCCAAGTTGAAGGTGGGAGGGATGAGCGGTGCGTTTGCGTTCCAAGTCGTGTTTTGAGAAGCGTCGATAGGAACAACATGCGACCAAGAGCAAGAGGCACTGGCAGCGAAAGGATCCGAGTTGAACACCGAAGCACGCTGTGTTGGAGAAGCCAATCCAGGAGCCACACCGCCAAAGTCGAGATCACTGGGGCCTAGCGAAGGAAGGTTGTTGGGATGAGGATACGAGGAGGAGGAGGAGGAGAAAAAGGAGCAAGAGGAGGAGGAGGAGGAGCAAGAGAGATGGTTACGACGTTGCTCTTCCAGTTTCGAGTTGAACCAGTTGGCGCAGAATTGAAGAACATCCTCGGGACGCGCACGAGCGACATCACGATTCAGATCGTTGAGCAGCGCTGTGTAGTGGGAGGGCAGCGACATTTTGCGAGCGAAACTTGGATGCCAGGCTGCTATATGTGGTGTACCTGATGGGATACAGAGGTGGCAGCGAATGCTGTGCTGCACTATGTGGATCTTTTTCGAATCTGATGGCTGGTGGGGAAGGTGGAGGTGGTGGTGGAGGTGGTGGAGGCGGTGGTATCGGTGGATGAAAAGTTGGTATCAATGAACGGACGAGTGGAAATGTGAAGTTGGTCTGTGCGAGGCGCATTGACCATTTCTTTTTTCAGAGCGTTCACAATTGAGAGAGGCACGTGACCGATGTGCAATTCCGATGCTGTCACGCTGTCCACGCGCGCACAGACATTTCTTAGCAGCGCAACTTCAGCCTGCTCCACTTGATCTCGTGCGAGAGACAATCATCGGACCCGCCAAAGACGAGGAAGGTGGAAATCTAACATTGTTTGCCCCTGTGCCAATGGAAATCGTCATCCGCAGCAAACAGACACGTTGAATTCGTCCATATCAACCACCAAGATCCCCCCCTTTAACACTTGATAAATCACCACGACCACCATCACCACCACCTCCTCCTCCACAATGGCTGCTCGTGCTGCTGCTGCTGCAGTCGATCTGGCCAAGATCTCCAACCTGGGTCTTGGCAAGCAAACGCTCGCTCAGATCTCGGCTTTCCGTAAGCGTGCCGACGATGCTAAGCGTCAACTTGCTCAGCTCAAGCAACAGAACACCGACGTTGATTTCGCCCACTACAACAAGGTGCTTCGCAACAAGGATGTCGTCTCTCAGGCTCAGAAGATCTTGAGCGAGTTCAAGCCTGTTACTTTTGATGTTAAGGCTCAGCTGAAGGCTATTGATGCTTTCGAGGCCAAGGCTGTTAGTATTGCATCCTTGTTTCGCTCCCTTTTTGATCATCGTATTGCACTGCATTTGCATCTGTTTCCAAACGTCTATCGCCAGTATTGCAACACTCCTCCTGTTTCGTTGCAGTCCAGGTGCGATTGGTAGAGACTCTGCGCACGGACATGCACCCTAACTCAACCAACACCTCCTCCAACAGATGCAAATGCACACCCACCCAGCTGCCCTTCGACTAGGCAAGCGCATCAATCACTCTGATGAACCCATATACTGACCTCCACCCTTCTTTCCTTCTTTCCTTCTTTCCTTCTTTCCTTCTTTCCTTCTTTCCTTCTCCCCTTCTTCCCTTCTTCCTATCTCCCCCCTCCTTTGCTCAACAACAGGTCGAACAAGCCCAAGCCTCATCGTCCAAGATCGAAGCCGAACTCAAAGACCTCAAATCCACCCTTCAGAACATCCAAGATGCTCGCTCCTTCGACCAGCTTACTGTCGACGACGTTGTTGCCGCTCGTCCCGAGATCGGTCGCACGGTCGATGAGATGGTTAAGAAGGGTAAATGGACTACTCCCGGTTACGATGAGAAGTTCGGAAACCTTTCGGCTCTCTAAACCTAACTGCTCGATGGCGCTTTGCTTTAGATGCAGAGCATAAAGCAAAGCAGGGGAAAGTAGGGGAAAGTAGTTTGTTTTGCAGCCGCAATGATATTCTGATCAACACAAGATGCCAGTGCAGTGTGTATACGGCGGTTGCAGTGAGCCTCTGATCTCGGCAAGACTGAGTGGCTCTCAGTGACTGTTAGTGAAGCAGGAAGGATTCGACATGTCGGCTAGGCATCCAAAGCCTAGACTGTAGCTATGAGCACTTGCTGATTGCGCCAGAAACTCAAGACAAGGATAGCGAGAGAGAGAAGAGAAATCCGCATCCATGACCCCGATATCTTCTCGAATCGGCCAAGCGTTGCGAAACGGCGATTGGCCGATTCGAGAATATTTTGATTGATTTCGCGATCTTTGGAACTTATTGCGATCTCACAGTCCGAATTGTGTGGCTCGGCCGAGCTGTCTATTAGCTATAAACTGCAAAAATCGGCTTCGGAGACTGGAAATGTGCCTGCGACCCACCAAATTTGCCTCTCCGTCTCTCCTGGGCGCTGAGCAGGAAATTCAAACTCTGCCGGTGTTGGAGTGATTGTTAAGATGGACCGGATTGTTAGCATGGACGTCTCTTTCGTTCTGATTGTCATCCACCACATACCTCAAGGTAAGTTGTAGGTCCGAATTGCAAGCGCACAGCTACTACATACAGCATATCGGATGATACAGCTGCAGCGACGACAACGACAAAGACAACGACAACGACAACGACAACGACACAATGGCAAGATAGGACTAGCGACTCCCCGCAGCATCAAGTCCCACGCACTCGAGCAGTAAACAGCTCGACATTCAGTTGCGGAGCAAGCGCAAGGCGATATGGATCGCTTACCTCTTGGATGCCGAGAGTTTGTCCATTATGCTGGGATGATCCCCTGCTCGAGCTTCTCGTCGTCCAATTCCGACTAGATGACCGTGTCCTTTCGCTTGGATCAGACGACAGCGACAGCGACACAGTGCAAAGAGCTCGTACATCAGCATCTCACCTCGCTCATCACTACGGCACCGGTTGCAAAGCAGGGACAGCATCCGACATGCGACTTGACACTCGTCGGACGCCTCGATCCTGCCAGCCTCTGCTAAAGGGAACGCCTATCTCGCCACTGCAATTGCATCATTGAAACGGGTCACTTTTGAGATTGTTACAGGTTGCTGACAATTAGTTGTACTCGCTACGCCATACGCTCGATTCGCAGATGCCCCCCAAGAAAGCTGCCATCGCCGCTGCGGCATCCAAGACGGCCAAAAAGAAGAAATGGTCCAAGGGCAAAGTTAAGGACAAGGTAGGTCAAGCTCGGCATTGTTTCGCTGGCTCGCTTTTTTCTTTAAGGAGGCCACTAACCGTTTGTCGCTTGGACACTCTTACGCTTTTGGTAATTGCAGGCTCAGAACATGGTCGTCCTCGACCGACCCACTTACGACCGAATCCTGAAGGAGGTGCCTACTTTCAAGATGATCTCGCAGTCTACTTTGATTGACCGTATGAAGATTAATGGATCGCTCGCCCGTGTTGCCATTCGACACTTGGAGAGGGAGGGTCAGATTAAGAAGTTGATCCATCATCATGGACAGCTTGTCTATACGCGCGCTTCTGCCGAGTAAATGCTCACCGCTTGGCATGGAGGATGAGGATTGCTTGGGCGATTTGGCTTTGCTTGTAAGACAAGATTTTCATAAGGCATTCATCGTTATGGTGGTGCGAACCTGGTCAAAATTCACACACTCTTGCAAGGTTTCCTGATTTGGGTTGCTTGTTGGCGATTTGATTTAAGACATCTTTCTCTCTCTCTCTCTCTCTCTCTCTCTCTCTCTCTCTTTGTGGTGCCTTGTTGAGATAGGCGATGAAGCGTTTGAGTGCCAGTGTCTGCTCGAGAGAAGCACTGGCGCATCTGCACCGCCCATTTGGAGCATTGAAATCCTAGTCTTCTGCAACGGTCCGCAGCTGTCAAAAGGCGCAAGAGAAGAGAGAGAAGGATCAAGGTGAGTGACAATCGGCCTCTTGCTCTTGGAGGCAGGCTTGGAGGATAGCTTACCTGTAAGCCATGGATATCTTTGATCACATGCTTCAACTCGCTATTCACCATTCTATGCGCTTTAACCGTCGGCATTCCTTTGAATTCTTTGCTGGATAATTGGATTGCGTAGAAACTTCCACATCCGCCTGTCCATGGGTGGTAAAAGATGGGATTCTCATCAGTCCATACCACCTCTAAACCAAGAGAAAGAGCAAGAAAGTAGGGGAGCGAGCGTTTAGCTTACCAGAAACATCCTGCACCTTGAGCACTGAAGGTTGGAATCGTTGCTTTAGGATCTCGCGGATCTTTAGCTCTCCCGCTGTTGCTGCTTCTTCTGCTGACCGAGCGGTGGTGGAGGTGTTGCGGAGGAGAGAGGTGGAGGTGAATGATCGTAAGAGAGATCCTGTGGGGCCTGCTGTGCGGGAAAGCGTTCGAGCGGAGGTGGTGGAGATGCTGCCGAACATCGTGTGCGATGTGAGATTGTTGAGGAGTGAGTATGGGGAGTGAGTATGGGGAGTGAGTATGGGGAGGACAAGGAGGAGAGGACAAGGGGTGTTGGGTAAGTGTCGATTACCAATTGCATCCCCGATCCCGATCCGTACTCACCCGATTCAGGCGATTTTCCGAGTCCAATTTAACACAAAGAAGAAAAAAAGAAAATGTGAAAAAGAGTTGAAAGCGAATTATAATTATTCTTCTCGCCATCATCCTTCTCGCCATCATCCTTCTCGCCATCATCCTTCTTGCCACCCGAACAACGACGAACAAAGACGAACAAAGATGGCAGACAACCACTGCTCACGCTCCCAAACACAGTCCAGCCCACAGAATGAAGAGGTAAAAGACGGAGGAAACGCATTCTTCGACACCTTCTTTGCCTCGGCATTGCAACGAGCGAATATGTCTTCTGGCGAGTTGAAAGGGTTGAACGACCAAACCAGTTCTGCTGCACACCCGCTTCCCCCCTCCCCCCTCACCATCGCCACGCGGGAAGATGAAGATGTATACGCTCCAGATGGAAACGGACTGGACTGTGGACGCGGTCCTGGCGACATCCCCTCTCCGCCAAACGAAAAAGCAAGCTGGAGCGCTACACGACAACAAACGTCAGCACTGGCAAATGGAGTATCGACGTTAAACCTCGATTCTGCTTCTTCCTGCACGAGCACCAGGGTGAACCGCGATCTGGACCTGGTTGCAACAAGACGCGGTGGAGGCCTGGGCACGCCGACCGGCACACCAACCTACATTGGTTCCTCTTTCGACCGGCATCCGACGCATCCGCATTCAGGCACGTTGACACCAGTCATGGATCCGCATTCCGGCTTGGGTTGGCCAGCGAAATCTACACTCGATCGATCACAGCATAGCGCAGAAGAAGCGCAAGAGAACCAAGCGAGGCTCTCTGCAGCAATCAAGACAGTCTTGCAATGCATCGGGGAAGATCCAGGGCGAAGTGGATTGGCGAAAACACCAGAGAGGTATGCAAAGGCCTTGCTCTGGATGACAAAGGGTTATGAGGTGAGGTTAAGCGATGTGATTGCCAATGCGATATTCGATGAGCAACACGACGAAATGGTCATCGTCAGGGATATAGACATTTTCAGTCTTTGCGAACATCATCTGGTGCCCTTTACTGGAAAGGTAAGTGCATTGCGCTTCTCTCACCACGGCACTTTTGGGCTCCCTTGGCTGCCTTGGCTGACCTGTAACTTGTCCGCTTTTCTCACACTCGCCCGCAGATCCACATCGGATACATCCCAAACCGACTCGTAATCGGCCTCTCCAAGTTAGCCCGTATAGCAGAAACATTCGCACGCCGCCTCCAAGTGCAGGAGAGGCTAACAAAACAGGTAGCCCTAGCTCTCGACGAAGCCTTGCGCCCGCAGGGGGTAGCGGTCGTCGTCGAATGCCAACATCTCTGCATGGCCATGCGAGGAGTTCAGAAACCAGGCGCTACCACTGTAACCAGCTGCATGTTGGGCGTCTTTAGAGACAGGCAGAAGACTCGGGAGGAATTTCTATCTCTCATCAAAAAGTAGAGCGACAGGCAAGCGGATCGCATTCGTATAGGTTTCCTTTGCATAGGTTTCCTTTGCATAGGTTTCCTTTGCATAGGTCTCCTTTGCATAGGTCTCCTTTGCATAGGTCTTGCTATACTCTTGCTGTGGGTTAGAAGTGCAAACTTGAGTACAGGTCGTTCCTAATCAACTCTCTCATTCCCTCGGGCATCAATGGTTGCTTGTTGCCCTTCCTATCGCTACCCCGGGCTTGGTCGACCATATATCTGAATGGCATTTCCACCTGTCGACATACAAAACCGTGATGATTCTCGTTAGTATTCTTCCTTGTTCCCCTATCTCATCTTAGGCTTAGGGTTGGGAGGTAACTTACACTTTCTCCGCGGCCAAATTGCAGTTCGGGATGGTCGAGCCATTGCATCTGGCCCTTTGCTTTTGCTGTATCCCCCCATGCGCTCTCCTGTTGTTTGGTATCATTCAAACCAAGAAGAAAGCCATCTTGAACGCATTTTTTAGTAACACCGAGAGCGGTATCAGTTGTCATCTGCACCCCACCCAGATGTCTCGAAGGGAAGGCCAACTGTCGAAGAGAACCAGTACGGTCTCGTGGAGGATCGTCACCGAGGATGCCACCAAAGAGGAAATATTCAAAGGGCCCACCTGCCTCATCCGGCTTGCAGTCCGAGGTATGCTTGCCGGCGTCTGTAATGCTAAGAGCATGGCGAGATCTCGGGTCGAGCAAACAAACGGCACTTTTCGCAATCCTCCGTTCTGCCATAAGCGTAGTAATGGATGCGGTATGCAGCTCAAACCTGCAACCAGACTGCCCGCTTGGCTGGGAGAGTAAAGAGCGAAGCGATTCCAGAGATGCGTGGGACAAGGAGGTAAAATGCACCGTCGATCCAGGTCCGACGAGTTGGAGCATATGTCGGTATTCCAGCAGCGCCCATTGCGGCAAGACAGAAGGTGCATCTGGCTCGTCCTCTTCCATATGCTCTATTACGTATTGCGGTCTTGTTGTTGCGGTCGACATCCTGGCTGGCTTTTCGGTGCGAGTGGCGGGATGGTATTGTTCCTATACCATCCAGAACAGCGAGGAGAAGCAAGAAAAAAAAAAAGAAAAAAAGAAAAAAAGAAAAAAAGAAAAAAAAAAAGAAAAAAAAGAAAAAAAAAGGAAAAAAGGAAAAAAAAAGAAAAGGCGGACATCTCTGCCTCACTCACACGGCCGACAGATGGGATGGAGGAGGAAGCGCACGCCATGTCACGTGCAGAAATCCCGACTTCCGAACTCTGACGCTTTCCAAATTGGGCTTTTGCTCGCTCGGCCTTTGCCACTCTCCCCTTTTCACCACCACTCACCACGCATCGCGCTAAAGAAGAGTCGTCTTTACGATGGAAGAAGGCGAACTAAAGGCGGGCACAACGACGACGACGACGACGACGACGACGACGACCTCGGAGGAACTGTACAAGGCGCTGCACCAACGGCTAGTCGCATCAGGCGAATGGCAACGACTTGCAATCCTCCTGCGACGAATGCTAGACGAATGCGGTTGGGCAACTAGCTTGCACAACACCGCTGCGAACACGGCAAAGAGGCAAAATGTTGCCAGTGTGCCCGAGCTGGTAGATGTGTTGACTGCACATGCTAAAGGTGCGTAACTGTGCAAAGCCAAGGCGAGCGATGGGCGAGCGATGGGCAAGCGATGCTGATTCATAAAAAAAATCTTGGCCTCCCGCCTGTCCATAGATAGCCTGCCGCCACATGTCAAGACTCATCTACTGGATAAGCTGAGCGACTTTTTGGATCGCAACCTCGAAGATGCATGAGCAGGGCTTGTTAAAGCTAGCAAGCACCCGCCTACATACTCAGTCAAATGCCTCCGATCGGTCCGAAGAGAGAGCATCTATGTGCGGATTGCAAAACACAAGACGGTACAAATGAGCGTATCCTACAGCATCCCCATCCACCAGCAAATAGAGAGGGAGAGAGAGAGAGAGAGAGAGAGAGACGAACAAAGGCAGTCAGCAACCAGCAAGAGGCCTACAATTCCAACCGAGAGCGCCGGTTGGCAGGAGTTGCTGCTTACGTTGCAATACATCTCTTGTACCACGCTATCCGAGTCTTCCCAGTGGCAGGCCAGGTCGGCTGTGTAGTAGAGCATACGATACAACACTTGAGACTTGTCAGCTCTCTCAACCGAGGCATCGTCCCCAAAAAGGAAAAGAAAAAAAGAAAAAAAAAAGTCTCTCGCTCACCTCTGTTCAAAGCAAAGTTGGAGCTCCAGAGAGCAAATGCAACACAGTCAGCATCGACAGGAGCAACAGCAAAGTAGACGGCCATCGCGAATCGCTAGGCTGCTCACCTTCCACCTTGGCCCAAATTCTCGACGAGTTGCACTTGCACTATATACTTGAATCCTGTATCGCCACGCAAGTCGGCATTGCCTTTGTCCTTGTTTCCGTCAGCTTGCTTGTTTGCGGCTACAGTGTCTATGTAGAAAGGCAGGCTCACGCACCTTTCGCCTGGACCTCGAGCATCTTGGCCTTGATATTCTCGGCTATGCATCTACTGAGAGCACGGTTCTTTTCTTTATCCCACTTATCCCATCGTGCGCTGCGTAGACGAGAGCTAAGTAGGCTCGAGAGATGCGGTTGCAGGCTTGTTGCCTCGAATCTGCCGCTCAGACAACGATAGCAAAAAGCGTCAGTCTCTGCATTCCTTTCTGCAGTCTCTTGCTCGCTATATCGCATCCTCTCACCTGGTTCGAGTGCTATGAGATGTCGACTGGGCCACCGGCGATGCTGCGCCGTCGAGAGCAGATGTGCAGCAAGTTTCCGAGTCTCGTGGTTGTGCTGATGTTGGTGCTATGGTCGACATTGTTGGTGGTGGGAGCAAGAGGAGCAAAGTGTTGTTCTCTGCCAGTTTTCCTGTTCTTCTCCACGCATTTCCAAAGCTGCACTTGCACTCTCACGTGACACCGAATCGAAATCAAATCGAAATCAAATCGAAATCAAATCGGCCGCCCGATGCAATCCCGATGCGATTCCGATGCAATCCCGATGCAATCCCGATGCAATCCATCTTCCAGCAACGTGTGCTTCTCTCATCATCCTCTTCATCCCCATCATCATCCTCATCCTTCTTCCCCCTTCAAGCATAGTATGCATACAATGGTCCGTTTCAACTTGGCCGTTGCTGCCCTTGCAGCTGGAGCGATCTCGGCATCCGCATCGGCATCCGCTTCCTCCCCCACCACAACTGAAGCTCTACGCGGAATCTCAGCCGCAGACGCAGCCAAGTACCAAGCCATCAAAACCGAGTCGGGCCAACTTGGATGGAAGTGTCTCGATGGCTCCAAAGAGATTCCCTGGACTGCTATCAACGACGACTATTGCGATTGTGCAGATGGATCGGACGAACGAGGTACTTCTGCTTGTCCGAATTCGGCCTTCTACTGTGCCAATAGCGGACATCTTCCCGCCTACATCCCTTCCAGTCGTGTCGATGATGGTATTTGCGATCCCGAGTGTTGCGATGGCTCGGATGAGGCGGATGGCAAAGTACACTGTCCCGATCGATGCGAAAAAGTGGGAAAGGAGTATCGTAAGAAGATGGCCGAGCTGGACAACTTGCGTAGAGCGGGAGCCAAGATCAGAGACAAGTACATTGCAGACGGTCGCAAGCAGAAGCAGTTGCTAGAAGCAGAGATCGCAAAACTCCAAATCCAAGAACAAGTGGCCGCTGAGAAGGAAGCTCGACTGAAAAACCAGCTGACACGAGCAGAGACCTCGGACAAGGCGGCGATGGATGCAAAGATCAAGACGCCCTTGTACGCCAAGTTGTCGCAGCATCAGCAGGCGATCAAGCACTTGAACCACAAGAATGCTGCTCTCAAGTCCGAACTTGAGACTCTGACGCTGCTGTTGGATGATCTGGCCAAGGGATACAACCCCAACTATCAAGATATGGCGGTGAAAGGCGCTGTCCTTGCTTACAAGCAATGGCGCACTTCTGCCACTAACTCTGCCGAAGCGCAAGGCCAAAGCACCGTCGACCAGCTTGCTGCGGAAAAGAGAAAACTGACTCAACTGCTGGATGAAGGCGACTGGCCGGCATCAAAGCTTTCCGCACTCCTCGCCCAAGACCCGCTGGACATTATGGAGGGCGGTATTGCAGACCAGAAGCGCCTCACAACCGAATGGGAGGGTGGGCTTCTGTTCCGCATCCACGAATACCTGCCGGATGCAGTAGTGCCTTATTTCGAAGCCATGGTGGACACTCTGCTCGATGTTCTAATCAAAGCCAACGTGATCACTGATGTTAAACGGATGCGACCCAAATCCGCCTCCTCTCCTAGCAGCACCGAATCGGAAGCGGAAAGCATCACCTCGGCTCGCCTCGCCCACTCGAATGCGGCCGCGCAGCTTTCTCGCATCACCAACGAGCTTGGCAGCTGTAGAGAGAAACTCTCGCAATTCTCTACCCGCTACGGTCGCTCGGCGGAATTCAAAGCTCTGGAAAACAAATGCATCTCCAAAGATACAGGAGAATACACATACGAATACTGCTTCTTTGGTCGTGCGACACAAATCCCCAACAACGGCGGCGCACACATCTCACTAGGCACGTTTGCCAACTTCAACCCCAAAAACGATAGCACCTGGCAGCAGGATCACTATTGGCTGCAACAGATCTACGCAAGAGGGCAAAAGTGTTGGAATGGTCCACAGAGAAGTACGCTCGTTCAACTGCAATGTGGAGTGGAGAACAGCATCGAGCATGTTTTCGAGGCGGAGAAATGCATCTATAGCTTCACCGTTGCAACTCCAGCTGTTTGCTTTCCAGTAGAGCACAGCCAGAAGCAGGCGCATCATGACGTGAAGGACGAACTCTAGACCGCACCGAGCAAGTGCGTTGCACAGAACAAGATGCCCTCTCTAGAAAGCTTATCCAAGTCGATTTCTCAAAAGCCCATGTCAGACGTCGCTGTGTGCGAGAATGGCACATGTATGTGTGGGTGTGGGTGTGGGTGTGGGTGTGGGTGTGATAGAGATGCAAGAGAAAGCCGGAAAGCAGTTGCGCAATGGTGTCTTTTTTCTCTTGTACATAAACAAGCCAAGCTCGGGTAAGTACAGGAGGGTTCTTTATGCATACGTATCGACCAAAGCATCTCTAAGCTCAGTCAGCGTCTCGTCTGCCTGCTGTGCTGCGGTCAAGCTAAAGACGCTCTCGATGACGCTGATTTCGGTGGCGGTAGCATCAGTACCACAGAAAGCAGCAAAATCGTTAACCACCAGGCCAGCACCAATCAAATCACTCCCGCGGTTCACCGTACCAGCAACAAGCGGGAGCTGGAGCAGAGACGAAAGTTCGTCTTGATCCTGCAGTGAAGTGCGAGGATGGGTAAGCGCTCCTTGGTTCGAAATGGCCGAGTAGGAACCGACGAGCACGTTGTCTCCCACTGTCTGACGGAAAACCTCAACTTTGAGAACGTCGGCGATGATCTCTTCCGTTTCGCGGTCCAAATCGGGATGGACCAATGCTACATAGTCTACAAATAGAAAACACATGACACAGAAGCATGGTCGGGTCAGCAAAAAAAAAAGACAAGAAAGTCAAGAAAGTCAAGTAGATACACAACCGACGTGGCAGATGATCGCACTTACCATTGCAAACAATCACATTTCCAAGCGCAGACAGACGCTCTTCGACACGCTGGATTGCCACCGATTCAGGCAAAGAGTTTCTCAAATGCTGCAACTCCTGATCGGTAGTAGTCGAAGGAACGAGCAACCCATGGCGGTTCCCAACACTAAGACGGCCAACAAGACGTGTACCTGCAATCGAGCAGTGAACAACAGGTATCACATCTCCAAGTTCAGCTTGGAAGGTCGAGTAGAAATTGGCACTCCCGCCGATAGCCACCAGACAGTAGGCATTCGTAAGGCGCGCAAACACACCGATCTCCGACGAGTTTTCGAATTGACATCGCACTGCCATCGTTGCAGTTGGAATCCGTGGTGGCAGAGGTGGTGTCAGCGTGAGGTCTTTGTTTATGGGTTGGTAAGAAGGAGGGAGAGCAAGAGAGCAAGAGCAAGAGAGGGAAACAGAGCAGAAAATCTGCTGTCCGTTAATGTCAAGAAATCTTTGCTTATGTAAGCAATGTGCCTCCTACTCGGGATTCGGGATTCGGGATCAGGAATCAGGAATCAGGAACCCGGAACCCGGAACCCGGAACCCGGAACCCGGAGAACCAAATCTGTTTTTTTCTTCTTCGCAACAGCGACATTCACTCACACTCACACTCACACTCTCACTCTCACTCTCACTCTCACACTCTCATCAACCGAACTCGACCCTACTTGCATACAGCTCAACTGATCAGCATCAACAGCAATCATGGATCGTAAGTCTCACTCCCCCCCTCTCCACCCCCCTCGGCCGCTTTTAGCTGTCCGGAATGCTTGAACAACATCGCTTTGCCCCCGCCCCCCCCTACTTTCCTTCCCAATGGTTTACATACCTGGCATCAGTCTCAGGCCTCTCATCGTCGGAACAGCAAGCAATGTCTCGCATCATCGAGCAAAAACAGATGAAAGACTTTCTCAAACTCTACACCGGTCTGGTGGAACGATGCTTCGAGTCTTGCTGCAACGATTTCACCTCGAAAGCGCTCAGCTCCAAGGAGGACACATGCGTCTCGAACTGCATCCAGAAGTTTTTGAAGCATTCCGAACGTGTCGGTGCCCGGTTCGGCGAAGAAAAGTAAGTAGCGCCAAGCGGCTTCGTGTGTGTCGGTGGTAGCAACGCTGACATTGCGTTTTTGGCTGCTTTGCGATGATCTGCTCCGATCTGCTCCGATCTGCTCCGATCGACAGCGCAAAGATGATGGCTCAGCAACAGAACAAGTAAGGATACCTAGCTGTCTGGCGCAAAAGCGGTCAATCGAATTCTTCAGCACTCTCCGCTTGTCTCGAGCGGATGCTATGTGTGCTTCTTTCCAGCTGAGAGCCAAAGCGAAGCCGAGTTGCAGTCAGCGACACTGCGCCTGCACAATGGGACAGCTTGCCACATTCCATCAATCCTACCGGCTTGGGTGCAGTCTTGATTGCCTCTTTGCCTCCTGAGACTTGCTTGGCTTCTCGTAAGGTGAGCACCGCACAGCTTGGACCCTTCGCTTCGAGTGTAATGCGCGGGCACCCTCTTCTTGCGATCCGAGCAACTGGTTCGAGCTTGCCTTGTCGAGCTCGACGAATCTAAATCGCTCCTCTCGATCTGCTGCATCATGACTCATGCGACGATTCCTTGCCAAGCTCTGGACACTATTGGCGCTTGCCCCTTTGTATATAGTCCACGCCTTCCTTCCTCCCCCCCTCCTGAAGCTCGATTGAAACATGCCGCCCTCCTCCTCCTCCTCCTCCTCCTCCTCCTCCTCCTCCTCCTCCTCCTCCCTGTCTGTATCCATCTGACCCCCACGATGGTCCAGCTCGCGGCCTTTAGCCTGGCCACCGCACTCCTTCTGGCTGTCCTCTCGCCGTTGGCCCAAACAGCCGCTCTCTCTCGTACACAGACCGCTTTGGCCTCCAGTACTTCCACCCTCCCGGCATCACCCCCCGGTGCTACTCTTGTCCAGTACAAGAGCTGTAGCTCCTCCTCCTACACGATCCCCATGTTTGTCAACAAAAACTTCCCCATCTCAGGCTCCACCTCGGCTTCCACTGTCTGGATCGTTCAGCACGGCTCGGGACGCAACTCGAACGACTACTTCTCTTCAGTCTACAACATTGTCCGTGACCAAGGCGTCGTGATTGCTCCCAACTTCTACGCCAGCTCTGACACCGGTGGATGGTTCCAGCCGACCAAGAATCTCGCATGGAACAGTAACGACTGGAACAATGGCGCAGATGCTGTCGCTCCTCATGGTGTTTGTTCATGCTCCTCTTACGATGTCTACGACTCGCTCCTAGCGCTGCTCAGCAACAAGGCTAAATTCACCAACGTCAATCGCATCTTTGTCGTTGCTCACTCGGCAGGAGCCAGCATGATGGCTAAATACGCCATGCTCAAACCTGACACTGGCATCACATACGTACTTGCCAACTCTCCTTCCATGCCCTACTTCACCCAAGCTCGTCCCAACGTCGATGCTGTTTCCAAATGCGCTGCCAACTACGACAGTTGGGGATACGGCTGGCACTCAGGAATGCCTCGTTATGTTGCTGCTCGCAACCCTGGAGGAGTGAATGCTTTCCGTAACTGGGTTAGCCAGGATATCACACTAATGACCGGTAGCTACGATACCTACACTCGCGATCCAACGGGCGACCAAAGCTGCCCAGCCCACACCCAAGGCGGTCAAAACCGTCGTGATCGTGGCTACGCTTTCTGGGCCTACATCAACCTTCTCGGCGGAACATCGACCAACGTTTCGCAATACTACGGCTACAACGAGTTGCAAAAACAAAACGTAACCAGCCTCTCCCCCACCACCTTCACAGCCAAACACTGTACCGTCCCCGGCGTTGCTCACGACAACAAAGCCATGTTCGCCAGCGATTGCGGTCGTGCAGCTATACAAACTACTTCCAACCCTACTCTCGCCCTACCCACCCAAGGCAAACGATATACTGCCTTGATCCGTCTGGAGAATGTATGCCGTTGGTTTGCCTTCATACCCTGGCATTGCTCCGCTTTTCGCCTTGGTTACCGTGCCTAGATACCGGTTGACTTGCAACGACAACATAACCCCGCCGCCCCGCTCTGCATCATTGTGTCCTTTCCAATATGATAATGCAAGTTGACGTAAGCCGATCCAGAAGCGGTCCGGTAGAACTTAGTCGTGCTCACATTCGAGGCCTACCACGATGAACCTTGCCTAAGTCGCTATAGTATAGACATTCTGCCGGATATCTGTTGCAGGTCGACTTATCCTCGTATCGGCGGCATCGTGCCGATATCCCTGATATAAGGGTCAAGGCGACCGGCCTCCTTGTCGATGCAACCCTGCACCAACATAGGGGTTGAGGAGCTCGGCGCACCTCGACCAGCATATCGCACTTGTTGCTACGATGCATAAAAAGTTGCACTTCTTACTGTAGATAGCCATGAAATCCCCACCCCCCTTTCCCCCCGATGTCTACAAACCTAAACCCAGCTCATCCAAACCATAGCTACGCAAGGCAACACTCCTTTCAACAGACCATGAGGCCTAACTCGTTCTAGCCTATGCCACCATACAATGCAAAAGGATCCTGATTGCCTGCTGAAGTGACGACTTCAGCTAGTTGCAGATTGATACTTTGGTCCTCCCTTTTTCAAACTCTTCTGATTGCAGCAAGCCCAGCCAGCCTCAGTATCACACATCATTGACACTCGCCTGTGCGCTTGAGTGAGCATCTTTGCCAACACGATGGATGTTTCTGTGTCCACCTCCACAATGCCTATCCTGAAAGGTAGCACCAACTACCATTCATGACAAAAGCGCTTCAAGAGGTATGTTGAAGGTATCAATCTAGTTGAAGTTGATCGTACGGTGCACCGCTTTGTCCGAGCTACAGTCTAGTTCCTTACACACAGGTGAATGGTGTAGATAAAGCATGGTCATTCCTCAATGTATTGGTGTAACTACATGTCTATATATACCTTAGGATCACTCCTAGCACTTGTTTTGGTCTGGTCAAAACAGTTGTGTGTTTTGCATGCTATCTTTCCAATGGAACTCTTAACTAGTTGCTGGTCCAATTAGCATGTGTCCCACATGCATGTTGCTTGGCCTATCATGTGGCTTGGCCTCCATTGCTTGGCCTCCATCACTTGGCCCTCATGCACCTCATTCACCAACCCTTGGCTTGCTCAATGCTTGGATAATCCTTCTGTTAATTCCATTGCATCTTCAACTCCCCCCCCCCTTGATGGCATTACCAGTCCTATGGATTGGGCTAATTGGGATGTGTCGACTCCCTTCAATGGCTTTGTTAGGATGTCTGCTACATTGTTGATCCTGCCCACAAATTCAATTGATATGTTTCCTTCTTGTGTATGGCCCCTTACAAAGTGATACCACATGTCTATGTGCTTGAGTTTCCAGTGTTTGGCCAGATCTTTGCTGACTTGGATGCATCCTTGACTATCCATTCAAAGCACTGGTTTGACATCTTCTATTCCTAGTTCCCTTAACAGGTAGGAGAAGAAGAGGGCTTCTCATGCTGCCTCAGATGCTGCCACAAATTCTGCTTCTACTGCTGATAGTGCCACACATTTCTGCATGTGCAATCTCCAACTCACTGGACACCTGTAAATGTATGTGATCACCCTGGATGTACTTCTCCTTCCATTGGTGGCATCCAATGCCCAGTTTGCATCTGTGTATGTCATCACTGCCTCATCTGTGTGATCACCTGACTTCCTTCCCAAGTATAGTTGGTACTCACTTGTTTGGTTTAGGTACTTGAGTGCATGGATTGCCACCTTTCATGCCCCATCTGTTGGTGTCAACATGTGTCACACCAAAATTCCCACTGTGAAAGTGATATCTGGTTGTACAGTGTTGGATACCCACAGTAGTTGTCCAACAAGCTCCTGATACTTCTTGCTCTGTGATGGCAAGCAGTTATCTCCTTTTGTGGTGTCAGCTATGTTTTGCAGAGGTACCCAGGACTTATCATTAGGCCACTCTAGCCATTTGCTTACCATCACCTGTATATATGCCATTAGATCCAGTGATATGCTACCCTGCTTTCTGTTTCAAGTGATCTTGATGCCCAGAAATTCCTTGATTGATCCATTATCTTGTGTCCCCCACTCTCTCATAATCTCTCCTTTGGTGTGATCCACTTCATTTCGGCTTGGTGACACTATAAGCATGTCATCTATGTATGCTGTAATGATCATGATATCATCTGCCATTCCCCTAGTGTACAGACAAGGGGCACTTGGCATACAATGAAAACCGATGCTCCTAAGGTGTGAGTCCAACTCAGCATTCCATTCTCACCCTGATTGTTTCAAACCATATAGTCCCTTCATGAGCTTAAGCACTTTTCCTGGTGGTATTTTGGTTCCTACCAGTGGCTGCAAGTAAACAGCTTGTTTAACATCAATTGTATCCACTTCCCAATTTTGTACCACAGCAAGTGCCAATACTCCTCTGATCAACTGAATTGGGGCTACTGGGGCAAATATCTCTGTGTAATCCACACCTGCCTTCTGGGTAAATCCTCATGCTACCAGTCTAGCTTTGAACTTTGTTGGCACTAAATTTGCATTGGTCTTGATCTTGAGTACCCATCTGGTGTTGATGGTATTTACTCCAGCTGGAAGATCTGTGACCACCCATGTGTCCATTGCTTCTAATCCATCTAACTCCTTTCACATTGCTTCTTTCCATAATCTTTTGTCTGGTCTGGCCAATGCTTTGCTAACAGTTGGGTCAAGGTTTATCCTTCCTTTGTTGGTGCTTGTTGCTGTTAATCCAAATGTATTGTTGTTTGTCCAAGCCTTGTAACTTGTCTGATCATCAGCCTCTTGGTCTGGATCCATGTTTGTGTATTCATCCAATGACTCTTGATTGCTTTCATCAAACAGGTTTTCTTCTGAGTACCATAGATCTTTGGGGTCTTCTTCATCTGTCAATGTCAGCAAGGGTGATGACACATTCATTGGTTGCCACTCAGTCCAGTCTGTCCAGCATTTGGTTTCCAAGAATTTTGCCAAGTTACTCCAGAATATGTTAGGTCTATAATCCAGGCTATAGAACAACCATCCTTTTCTTTCTAAACTATATCCTATGAATATAGCAGCAGTTGCACATTGATCTAACTTCACATTGTCTCACTTGGCCTTTGGTATGTTTACCCATGTGAGACATCTGAAGACTCAAAGTAGTAACATGAATTGTTTTGCTGACTTTCTCAACATTACTTCATATGGGAGTTCTTCATCAATGCTCAGAGTCAAGTTTATCTTGAAAGCAGCTGCTCAAATTGCATATGGCCAAAAGCTCTTTGGCAATCCTCTTTGTACTAATAGCATTTGCATCTTTTCATTTAAACTCCTATTCATTCTCTCTACCCAGCTGTTCTGTTTGCTGTTGTACCCCACAGTTGCTTGCCACTCTATTCCTTTGTCTAGTGACCATTCCAGAGCTTCATTACTTTTCCATTCAGTCCCTTGATTGGATCAGATCACCTTCAAGTTTCTTCCCATCTGTGTTTCAAGGAAGGAGACTATTGTCATGGGCCTGAATGCTCAAGAAGCAGGAGGGTCACTGGTTCATATGGAAGGAGCACAGGTATCAGAGATCTAGTCAATACCAGTGGTGAGCATGGTCATAGTGCAGTCTCCATGGAGACCATGGACTCCTATGGACTCACATGCAAAAGAGGACTGGGCCCATATGTGAGGAGGGCCAGGCACAGCCACGAAGAGGACCAAGCTCAAGGAGCATGCAGATGGTTACCACTCAGGGGCTCAAGAGACAAGAGTCAAAGGAACCGTCACTGGTTAAAGGAGAAGGAGCAGTGTATAGGAAACCGGCAAGCAGGTCCTGAGGAGGAGGAGCAGTGTCGAAGGAGTTGACACCAGGTCATGAGGAGGAGGAGCAGTGTCGAAGGAGTCGACACCACTCAAGAGGCACAGGGGTGCCAAGCAGGAGAGGCCCCTGAACAGTACTCGATGAAGAAGGTACTCTCTGGAGAGAGAGCAGGAGCAGCATTGCTGGCGATGCTGTGAAGAGGTATATAACCATGCTTTCTCATCATCAAAGGTCGAGTGGATCCTCATCCACTCTACTCACCATATAACTAGTTATCACTTCAGCATAAGTATACATTAGTTTCAGTCAGCATAGCAGCAATCTATCAAGGTTGCTCCTCATCATAGTGTGTGTGTTGTATCACCACTACCTGACATCTGAAGGTGACCCATAGCAGGTCAGTGGTCCAGATTAAGATAGAACCAAAGGCAGTAGTCCACTGTGGTCCAGGGATCACTTCAAGCATCAAGTCAACACACTGGACACTCATGTTGATGCCACCAACCTTATCACCAACACCATCAACCTCATTACCATCAACACTCACTGACCTTATCACTGACACCATCAACCTCATCATCATCAACACTCACACCAGACCTTGGTGTCATCATAACCTATGTATTGATATTGATTGTGCCAAGCTACCCCTGAATGGAGTGTCCACAGAGGTCAGCCAAAACCTATGATAGTATATACAATGAATGCCACCCACTGTCATTGTGCAACTTGATAGTCGCCGAGCAACTAGCTTGTCGAGACTGATACTGAGACAATAGCTGTCGCACAGTTCGATAGTCACCGAGTATCTTGACAGACCGACCTGGGTTTCAGGTGCAAGACCCCTGACATTAGAGTGGATCTTCAAGCAGCTCCTCACGATCACCATGATGGACCCAGACCTCAACAATAAGCTCGATAGACTACTCACTCTATTGGAAGCCCAGCTAGAGCTTACCAGGCACAGACAATGAGAGGAACGATTACAACGAGCTCATCTGAGCAGAGAGGGGACGATTGACCTCTCTCACTCAGAAGACCAAGCAGGAGGAGGAGATGAGTCTATGATAGGAGACCCACATACTCCTACTCTGGCTCCATGACCAAGATGATCAGTTTCATTCGTCAACCTGGATGAGCAGGACAACATCAACTATGAGAAGTATGCTTCACCTACTGGACCA